CAAGTTAGTGGCCCGCCACGTCATGGGATAAATGTGTGTATAGGAAAACAAACCCCGGCTCCAGCTCCTATGACGGACAGGTCCTTGAAGATGATGTCACCCAAACGTTCCGATTCACTGGAAGTCTGGTATTGAAGAAAATCGTCCACCAATCGATCGATCTCTGCATCTTGGTGATTGTCTTCGCTGGAGTCGTATTCTTTACTTTCACCCGAGGACTCCATGATGGAGAGATTGACCTGCTGAGAATCTCGATTGCGAGACTGGGCTTCTGTGGATCGCGAGCTGTTGAGGGGACTATTAAAAGCAGTGTCCCAGCATCATATCAAAGGGATTCCTGTCGGGTTACCGAATGGGGTAATAATTACCCCTTCAGGTTAGAGTGGGGAAGGGTTAGGACGAGCTCCACCCTTGGTGGAGTCGCGGATAACATCGAGGGGTAGTAGTAAAATAAATAAATAGCAGAAGCGACGCAGGAGGAGCAAAGAGAATTTCTCGTCCGCCCCAACATTGTCAAACAAACGTTGAGCACAATTGCTCCAATTCCTTCAATTCCTCCATTCGCCATGTCTGATTCCCAGATTGATCCTGATCAGTTCACCCGCGCGGGCTCTATCACTAAGGGCTACTACCGTGATGTCCATCCCACTATTGATCCCACACGGTCAGAGCTATCCCAGACAGGCAAAGTAACCATTGTCACAGGAGCAGGAAAGGGAATTGGCCGAGTAAGAATCAACTCTGTTCCGCTGCCGAAGGAAGCACGGCTGACGTTCACGATTCTCTACAGGCCATTGCACGAGCACACGCACAGTCTGGTGTCAGGGGGCTGGTGCTCATTACCCAATCCGCTCACACAGCTGAAGAGACAAAGGCCTTGGTGCAAGCCGAGTTCCCTTCCGTCGAGGTGCTGGCCCTGCCTACAGATATCACCGACGAAAAGGCAGTGGCACAGACTTTCGCGACTATCAAGGAGAAGTTCGGAACCGCAGTACACACCCTGGTCAACAATGCCGGCGTCTTCGCTTCGGTGGCGCCCGTGGCCGAGGCTGACTCCACTGAATGGTGGAAGGACTTTGAGGTCAACGTACGGGGGACATACCTGATGACGGCAGCATACTTGCGCTTGATTGCGGATGAGGCTGCGGACTTTCAACCCACCGTGGTGAACTTCATCACCACGATCCCCCTGACCCCGCCTGGACTGAGCAGCTACTTTATCAGTAAGCTCGCGGTGGCCAAATTTACCGAGTTTGTTGCAGCGGAGAACCCCCGGGTGGCCGCCTACAGTCTCGCTCCTGGCATCGTCCTTACTAGCATGACGCTGGATGGGTTTAAGCCATTCGCCAAAGACACCCGTAAGTTAAAAGACCATTTTTCTTCTGCATCAAGCGACCTATGAGATGGTATAGAGTATGTTCTAATGTTATGATATAGCGGAGCTACCGAGTGCTGTGACCGTGTACCTGGCAGCGAAACGTCCGCAATACCTCAATGGGCGCCACCTCTCTGCCAATTGGGATTTCGCAGAGCTGGAAGCTCGGCAATCTGAGTTTTCATCGTCGGAGAAGCTGACGCTTGGTCAGTTTATCTAAACGGGGGGCTGGGTTGTCCCATTCTTCGAGGGTGGTCTTGCTCTCTTTTCATCGGTGAAGCTTACCTGTTAACCCGATTTCATGTACATGATTATGATATGCCATACATTCTAGACTAGGAACATAGAACTCTCAACGCTGTATCAATCGCGCGCATGATGTTGGGAAAATTTACCAAGAATAATAGTTATGACATCAAAAATTCGGTACCTAGCGAGATCTCGGGCACATCCATGAGCATATCATTGATTTCGTGGCAGTACCCATACCAAATACTGGGGTCAACAGTATCTGCACAGGACCACAAAGCATCATCCTCGGATGTGAACGAGGGAGGCTGTTGCTGCTTCTTCTCGGGTTCGACAGGATCAAGGGTTTGGATGCCCCGACCATCATTGCGATCATTGGGGGCGGATGACTGCGAACTCAGCAACTCCATGAGTGCACTGACCCGCCCAAGCAAATATCGTGTCAGGCGAGCAGCTCGTGACGCAATCGGATTTACTGGTCCTGCTGCCTCGAAGATCTGAAGCGATCGCTCGACATGCTGCTGAGCACGAGGGAACCAGTAGCATAAGGGGTAGGCCAACATAAACCCTATAAGTGTGAGAACGGCATTCCACAAGTACTGGTAGATCTCAGAGGAGCCATAAAGCACGTCGTGATAGAGCATCCGAAGACGGATGAGGTCCGTGACGGTTAGCGCATGTTGTATAGCCGTGGTGGCGTGCACATCGGCTTGTGGACTCCGTTGCGGAACCAAGCCACGACTCGGAAACTGGATGAATGAGTGGTGAGCCCAAAGAACAATGTCATGATACTGAAGCTCAAGGAGGGTTCGCTGTAGGATGACTGCTGGGGCCAGGTGAAATGACAGCCTTGCATCATGATCGTGCTTTAGCCCATCCTCGGCAGCCGTCACTGCTTCGGGTTGATATGCTCCACAGGCAAGTGTGATATTGGGAAACAGTTTTGCTTCCAGGATCCGATCTTTCCATTGATACAGGTGCTTGATTTCCTGCGACAAATGGTGCGCATAGCGCTCGATCTTGGTGACAGAGTCGACTGTCCCTGACACAGCATGCAAATGATTCTCCAGGGACTCGGCCACTTGTCTTGCGACCACAGTCAGTGAGATTGACGCTGAGTAGTAACTGAGGTCCGGGGAGGCCACGGAAGACTCAGGTGTAGGGTGCGGCATGGTGATTGTCTTGTCATTGAGGGAGACAGCCATCGGTTTTCCCAGCAGTCGGGAACAGTGGAAATCGAGATGGACCAACTTCCACCAGATTCGCTGGCGTATTTCAACCTCTTGTGGCGGTAGATGTGTTCGAGCGAGGCGCTGTAGGCCGAGGGACTGTGTGAGCCGCATGGCTACACCAATGATATTATATGCCGCCTGATGTTCTCCCGAGTTCAGTAGGAAGGCAGCCATGAAGAGATGCCGCTGCACATCTGCCAAGGTCGGCTCTGCGTAAAGGAGATAGACATTGTTTGTAGCCAGCCCTTGTTGGAATAAGGTAACAAACAGTTTGGCTACCAGAGGGCTTTGAGAAGGATTCTCCCCATGGTCTGATGACACCACGCCCTTCTGAATACTGAGCAAGCGGTTATGAAGCCCCGCATGATAGATCGATTGCAAACAGTAGGCCATTAGAGCCTGTCGCAACGGCTCGGACCGTCCATCCAGCTTGCCTGCTAAATCCTCCGAGCTGACAATTGGCATCAGGAAATGATATCGATTCCAGAAAATATCAAACAAGGTTTTCTGAAGCTCATTTAGACTGTCCCGAGTCAGCTGTGAAAGAAGTGGCTCTACTCTCCTCAGCAGGTCTGGTGACGAAGACGAAACATCTGCAGGGGCTGAGTCAACGGGTTGAGGGGATGGATGGGTCGACATTTGCGACACCACTGTGCAGAAACTATTCACTCGCGAGATAAAGCTGGCGAACGAGTCCAAGTGCTGTGAAAGAGGAGCGGCAGCAGCATGATGTATCGATGGAGTCTGCGGTGGATTTGACTGGGGCCTCACTTGCTGGCTTGAGACAGCCTGATTTGGGGCAGAGGGAGGTGCAGCCTGGGCGTGTGGAAAACTGGACTGGGCTGACGATTGTAACTCCCGATTTCCAGACGAGGGGAGTGGATGTGGGCTCGTATGTTGATGTGAATATGAATGCTGAGGAGGCTTGTTGCATTGCACCTTGTTGGTAAGGCACTGGCCACAGGGTAATCGGCCATCGCAGCGGACCCGGTGCTGGCGGCAGAAGTCGCATGCCCGACGCACTTTTCTCCGCTTAGCCAGTGGTGCTGACCGTATAGAGACGAAATTGTAAAGCATTAGGAGCGGGTGGGGTATCAGCGGTGGTAGCTAGACCCAGAAGACGGCACAAAGGATTTCAATTCTGAAGTCACGGTTCATATGGAGGTGGTGGCAGCGGTGAGGTACCGTGGAGTACTAATTTACTAAAGCCCTGAGGGGGAGTACTCTTGTACAAAGTAGGCTAAAGCTCCCATCACCTGACCCTTACCCAGCGTGGATTCCTGACCAATAGGAAAATGTGGAACAGTTAGCCAATCAGATTAGCTGGAAGGAACACTGACTGCTACTGGTTGTCGGGTCCTTCCGCTTCCAGATCCGCCACAGGTACCTGCCAAGAACCCATGGGTTAAAGATCTAAACCCGTAGCCAATCCGCGGGTTTAGACTAGAGGCCCAGAGCCCCGTGAAGAAACGGGTCGGCTCAACCCCGTGAGTGGACCCTAATGTTTTGGCGAGGCCTACTAACTAACGAACTACCTCTCATAGTCAAAACTGCAGACGCATTACTTCCCCATTGGGCGTAGGTACGGACAAACCTGAAGGGTAGCGTCTTCAGTTCTGCTTACGCATGAGTTACGTGATATGCGCCGGCGATCACGGTTCATTCCGTTACCCCATTTAACCCTAGTTCAAACCAGGCATTTGTTTTAGCCGGTGGATATCAATATATGTATATATATATTCACCTATATTCGGCAAGGTGGCCCCTGCGAATAATATCAACGTGTATTAGGTTGTCCCCACTTGATCGAGACAGTCTAAACTTCAAAATTTTTGTAGGTCAGGTTTTCACCCCAATTGATCAACCTCAATAGCTTAGAATTGGTGCTTGCAATCCTTCGTCAACACAAGGATCGATCAAATTTTCTATAGTATGGAATTGGAACATCGCCTTTAGAAATTCAACATACGGGGGGAATGTTATAGATAGTACAGCTACCTAGGGTTGCGAGACCGTTGAGCGGATACCTAGCTTATTGGCCGACTGGCATAGTACGTTCCATCGGTTATTCGGAGCATTGACTCGAACGATGACCATTTTAGCATTTGACATTCCTCATTTTAATATTACATAAAGACCCCATGCTAGTCCAGTAGTTTGTTGTGAGGTTTGACGAATCGATCTGTGCCCCCTCCATCCCCCCACGCACGCGCACAGTCCTCCAGCTGCGCCCAACCCATGGCCGAGGAGAACGAGTGCCCCACCAGCCGCCGTGTGAAGAAAGAAGACTCCATCTTCTTCACGGCGTACTCCCAGTCCGTGGTATACTCCTTGAAGAACGGTCGGTAGCCCAGTAGACCCCCAATCCAACGCCCCACAATGATTCCGCCCCAGTACCCGATCTTCTTCCGCAACCAATTCGGTAACCAAGCTGGGGGTAGGAGATATGCATCCCCTGCATCATATGTCTGTCCATGCAAACCCGTTAATTTTCTGTCGGTTTGAGGAAGGGTAGCAGTTGTTGGGGAAGGCGGGGGGGGATGATTGGGTCTGAATAAAGCCCAAAAAGAAAAAGAAAAAGAGAACATACGCAAAGTAATTGGATGAAATCCATCTTGCCCTCGTGCACCAGGTAATCATGCCACAAGCCATACCAATTCTCGAAGAACACTCGATCGAGTTGATAGTCAAGACCGGGATCTGAGGCACTGAGGATAATCACCATGTCTTCGGTGCTGTCGGGGGCGACGTAGAACCGGTGGATTGACCCGGCTCGGCCCTGGACCTCCCCATCATCGGGCGTTAGGATGCGAGTCTGACCATTGACTTCGAGGCACATGCGTCCTTGTTCGACTCGGAAATACTCGTTTTGAAAGGGGTGGAAATGGACGGGAGGGCCGGAAGGGTGATTAAGTGCCGCATTGATACGCTCATAGTCCGGGTCCCCTTCGTCCATGGGAGGCTTCAGGGCGTACTTTTGACGGAAGCAGAAGCACCGACCCGGCGGGGGTTCCAGGAATTCGGTAACAAGGGCACCTCCGAACCTAGCAGGTGAGATGTTAATACACGTCCGGGAACCCTAATGAGGAGGGTGGTGGGAGGAGGCAAAACAATAACCCACTTGACAACAGGATTGCTCCCGGCAGAGACATGGTATGGGATCAGGGGAGGCATTGCGAGAACAGAAGGGGGAAACTCGGATTTCTGAGACCGCTCGCAGGAATCTGTGTCTTCTCTCTGCCATTGACTACATTCTTCCGACGAGACAGCTTAAATACTTTACGGTTTCACCGAAGTCGATAAGTCCGTCCTTACGTTCCGATGGCTTGGAACGATTAGGATGATAAGACTAGGATGCAACCATCATCCTAGTGGTTCTAGATAATATGCATTTGTTGTTGGACTAGGAATAGTCCGTCTCATTAGCTAGCAGCTGAACGGGAGACCTCGAGACTCACGGTTGATATTGCGGCAAATATGATCCCTTGGCCTTGAGCATTTGCCGAGAGTAGAGGTCCTACGAAAAAGAGAGACTTGGCGGCTGTTCAGCACCACTGTCTAGATTTGCATGCTTCCATTAGCCTCATATTGGTGATGCTGAAGAATGAAAGTAGAGCCAATCAGATATCCAGGAAAGATAGCTCGCTAGTATATCACTGCATATACAACTATACTATATCAGGTATTTAGATTGGCTCATTGTTTCAACTGCCAGCCATACTAATTAGGCTTTTAGCTGGTGGGTCTCCCTTTCTGGCCCGTCCGCGAGCCGTCCCTAAGAAACCTCGCTTAGCCGTCCAATAACGTCAGACAAAATGGATCTTTCGGCAGTTGACTGGTTCCGAACCTACCATAAACCCTCGTCGGCAGAGATTGCAAACCATACCCATATTCCATGGTCGATATCGATTATAATCATGCTTGAGAGTAGACCATCTTGATAGCTTGGGCTATCCCGGCCTAGCCGACGCTAAACATCCTTTGTGACTACTACCAACTACAGCTCCGGGAGGGAGAAATTGCCGACAAGATCAAAATTGACGGGGAAAGGAGCCAAGGAAAAAAAAAAAAAAAAAAAAAAGCATTGTAGGAGAGGAAAGCTGATGGGAAGGGAATTTGCAGTATCAAATATGAATATCAGTATTGGTATATAAGATTCCTATCCGCATGCTTATATTTGAAAAATGTAGATGATCTCTTGCTCTGCTGCCTCTGCATCAATTCTTCCTCCAATCTCCCAGGTCTGGCTTGATAGTTTCTATTATTAATTATTCACCCCTTCGATTGCCGCCATGATTGTACCGCAAACTAAAACAAACCTTGAAGTTGTCATTGTTGGGTAAGATACCATCTGCTTCCTTGATTCTGGTTCTTGCATTGACTCCTATGTTATACGAAACCCAGAGCCGGTGCGTCTCTTCAAGTCTCATAGCCTAATATCTTCTGATATAAAATCTAGGGATTGGTGGTATGGCGGCGGCACTAGCCTTAGGCCTGCGCGGTCACCATGTTACTATCCTGGAATCGGCCCCAGAAGTGCGTATCCCTCACTGCAGGAGACGATGTGATCAGAAAATGTTGGTAGAAGAACTAATCGCCAACATCATGGGGGCTTCTAGTTGATGGAAGTCGGTGCCGGAATTCAAGCATCGCCTAATATGCTACGCCTTTTCGATCGTAAGTCCATTTCGTGCAGGTATCTTGAGTACATCATGAGCCTAACCTTTCCCCTTCCTGACTGGGGTGGTTCCCGCTAGGATGGGGAGTATCTTCCATGGTACATGCAAAGGACATCGCACTCGAAAATATCACCATTCGCCGCTGGAAGGATGGTAGCGTCCTAAGCACAATGCCTGTTAATAAGGCTTACGGACACCAGACTGTGGTGCATCGTGCCGATCTACATAACGCGCTCATCACCAAGGCTCTGGCGCTGGAGAATGTTCAGCTGAAAGTAAACTCCCGTGTCACAGGCATCAAATGCTATCACCCAGCTGCCGTCACGCTCATGGATGACACGGTGGTAACGGGTGATGTGGTGGTGGCAGCCGACGGAATCAAATCGGTGCTCCGCGGGGAGATCCTGGGGTCGTCGGCAATGCCGCCCATTCCGACGGGGGATGCAGCTTATCGCATCATGTTGTCACGAGAGGTGATGGAGAAGGACCCAGAGTTGAAAGCCTTGCTCGATAATCCCATCGCTACTCGCTGGGTTGGGCCACATCGTCATATTATCGCGTATCCCGTGCGCAACCACGAGCTGTTCAATATTGTCTTACTTCATCCGGACGACCATGACGCGGAAGAGTCTTGGACTACTACGGCGTCCAGGCAGAGTATGCTGCGTCAATACCATGGCTGGGACACAACGGTGCTGAAGCTCCTCAATCTCGTCAAAGAAGATGAGGTCCTAGAGTGGAAGCTGTGCAGTTACCCAAGCCTAGATTCGTGGACGAAAGGCCGTGTCGCGCTGCTTGGGGATGCCTGTCATCCAATGCTGTAAGTCTTGGAGCACCCGTCCCTTCTGTGAAGTTGTCCCGCAAGAACGTGAAAGCTAACCTAGAGCCAGGCCATATGTTGCGCAAGGTGCCGCTCAAGCTGTTGAGGATGCGGCCGCCTTAGCTATTCTCCTATCTGTTATACCCTCTCGGCATGCCATTCCTGAGGCTCTTCGTGTCTATGAGATGTCCCGTAAACCACGTGCCGAGGGGATCCAGCAATCGGGAATGGCCAACCGTACCATTTTGCATCTTCCCGACGGTCCCGAACAAGAGGCCCGCGATGAACAGTTCCTTGCGAGCATGACTAGTGCAGCCAACCCGGACAAATGGGCTGATGCAGAAACTCAGAAGCTTTTGTGGGGATGGGATGCGGAAGACCACGCTTTAGCGACATGGGCAGAGAACACGAGGCCAGTATATCTCGAATCATCTCTTTAACGAGCTGAAGAGTGTTTTAGTGGTTCAAATGGTTGGTGGGGGGTTGCAAGGCTGTGTTACATGTAATCTTCAAGCTAAGGAGCCTGGCTAAGTTTGTTATATATAAAGACATATACTGAAGTCGTAATACCGTTCAAATCTAAGCCTATCAAAGGCCAGATTTGGTATACTGCACATCTACTGCTATTGTAAAATTCCATACTTTCTTTTAGCTCAAGTAGGAAATATACTGGTGTCTTGGGTATTCCCATCCCAGGATAATAGACTAAAGACGAGAAGAATAGTTCCTCACTACACTTTCCACCACCTCCATACACGCCTTGCTGGTCCCAAATGCGAGCGACCATCCTGCCCCACCGTGTCCATAGCAATGAATGATTCGACTGTCTTGTCCACCTAGGGTCTTTCTTCCTTCGCGTTCGACCCGAATCTTTGAGTTTCGATAAGGTCGCAGTCCCTGTGCGAATGGATATTGAGGATCCAGTCGCGCATTCTTCAGAACAGGCACCAGGTCTTCGCATCGCTTGCGCATCGCCTTGATCACAGGCGAGTCGGGCGTGAGATCGAGATTCATCTCATGGGCTTGCTCGATGGACCCAAGAACCAATATATTATCACTTCGCGGCACGATGAATGCAATGTCAATGTATTTTCCATCTGCGTCCTCATCCGCCGCAACGATGATGGAACTCTCAATCTTCGGAAAGTCCGATCCATCATTGATGACTCGCAAGATGCCTCCTCGTAATGAATGGGCCCCCTGGTCGGAGGCAATCTCTCGAGCTCCAAGTCCAGTCGCATTCACAATCGCATCGGCACGATACATCCTCAACAGGTGCGATTCCTGGTCACGCAGATCCCCCACAATGCTATCAGTTTGCATCCTCGCACCTTTACTCCTAACCAGCCGCATCAGGAAAGCCATCGCGACATCGGTATCGATCACCGGCGCAGGATGCTCATACGCATCCTTCATCCCCCCATTCGAACTAACATCAACTCCGTACTTACTCGCCAATCCCACCCCCCAATGAAACTGTCCTGGGGCCAGCTTCCGCGCAACCTCCATTTTGGCATGCGTAGGTTCATCATCCTTGACGTGATATGTGTGAAACGAAGCACAGAATGGCATCCGCACCCCGAACGCTCTGGCGAGCTCCGCATTCGCCGCCAGCTTCTTGTAGATGGCATAGCTCTCCAGCGCCCATCTCTGCGCCGTCTTCAGATCCGCTTCGCTAAGCTCTTGGTCGGTAAGTCTTACTCCACCGCATTGCGTGGGTGGAAGCTCCCATAATGCTCCAGCAACCTGGGATGTGAGACGCTGGGTGCGTCCATAGCTGGCCCATTCCTTCGATACAATGGTTACTTGATAGCCTGCGTCGAGAAGATGCCAGGCATTCGTTAGACCGGTGACTCCGGCACCGATGACGAGGATGTGCGGGGCGTTGGGAGCCGGCTTGCGGAGCGGCTCTGGGCCAGCAGACAGATAACTGTTCAGATGAAATGACGTTGATTGAGTCATGTTGACCGTTGCTTTGAGCGGGCGTATTGTAGGACTGGGTGGGTAGATATGTTGAATCTCGATCGAGGATACCTTACAGCGGATGATGGACGGTGCTTAGATCCTTCTTGTGGGTGGGGAAATCAAGCAAAGAATGTAGCGGTGTGATTGAGATGCATGACACGGTGTTGATGTATGTCATATTCTGGTCAATGGTATATAGATACTTTACACTGACTTTAGTGGTAAGGGTCTACGATAGAAAGTCAGAACTCGTACCAAGTCGGTTTATTGTGATTAAACCTATCTACACGGCAAATTCTCTCCATTATGCCAAGTTTTAAGGACTTCTTTGACTGTGGACTCTTCTCGTATCTCCGCTGCTCACCGCGCTGGCGATCTACCCACCCTTTATGCACAACGAGCTAACTCCATCATTTAGCGTCCTGGGCAAATTACGCTATTATGTCTACCCCGCCAACGCCTAGGTCGTGAACCCTCGACCATCCTGCTATGGTGGCTGAAGGAGTGAAAACAGTGACGAAAAGAAGATGCAGTACTTTTATGACCGATATTCAATAGGGATTGGTAGCAGAATACAAGTCTGCTATATGAAGCAATGCGTGGTTTGCCTTAATATTCTGTGAAGCGGTATCCAAGTTGGCGATAGTGGTAAACCACGTCACCACGGGTTGACAACCAGTCCCACTCATCTTCAGCTACGCATCATTGGAACCACAGCAATCCTAGTCAAATCGTGCATATGATGCAATATATGCATGCAGCTTTCAGCTCGACTTATTCATCATGGCTCATGCATTGGTTAATAGTCACCCACGAGCGCGAAGATCTCGATGTGATGGGTTAATGGCAGAGCAGCACACCAATCCTATCTCCAGCACAGCGGTTGCCGCTCAGCTGAAGTGCTGATCTTGTGATAGTACCTACGCCACCGGAAATAGATGGCAGGTTTTGTGACAGAATTCGGTGTCACAGTGCGATCCTGAACCACTATTCTACCTAGAGTGGATTGGGTTGCCCGCTAAACCCCACCCGACTCAGACCCGTGAACAACCCTATGGGAGACCCTCAGGGTCGCAAATAATAATTGACTCTACTAACCATGGGATGCCGGCAAAATCGACCCTCAGGAAATTATAGTTTCTGTACAGGTCGATGGGATACCCTGAAGTCTATGCTACTAAGGCACTCGAGAATGTCATTGCACTCGGAAGTGGATGGGTAAATAGATTTCTCCCTCTCTATGCATATTGAGGAGAACGCCTCTGGCTCTTTAGTACATATATATAGTGGTACTTTCGCGGCATCTACTCAACTTATGTCGAAGCAGACTTTTCTTTTAAACCTTTGGCATCATTGCAAGAATCGCGCGGGATAATAAATTAACCATCATCAACAATGTGAAAACCGAAGCATCGCTTTTCAAACAGTTCTGTTGGTTTATTTTCACAGCCCTCTCACTAAGGGCGTCATTAAGGGTTCAATCATTCAAAATGGTGTCCATGACCCTCATAGTCCCTTGGCCGCTTCTCTTGCTGAGGGCTACAAGACACAAACTTATGTATTGTCACAAGGCTTGAACTACACAGCAAGCAAGAATGTCGGCACCATTGCTGAGCTACGTCGGCTTCCTAGGTCTGAACTCGAGGAGGAATTCACGGGCGGTTTCAACTTCCAGCGTCTTGCTGATTGCTGTAGATGATGCCATCGGGAAGGTCCAGGTCCGCCTCTCTACCTGAATATATAATGAAGGCACATGTTGAAAAATTGAAGAAGTTAAGATTTCTGCTGATCTCAGGATTCCTAGATACTTTGAAGACTTAGTTTATAGATTTAGTACACATCTCGTTCTATATATTTAATGCAATCTATATATATAAAAATGATTTAATACCACTGGTTAATCCATAGTAAAGTAAATGACAATGCACTGCGTTCAACCCGACAACCCAGTCAACCCGTCTACTAGACCTATATAGGTAAGATATGTGCTTAGTCAGCAATAACAAACCTATTCAAGCATAGGATCGGGTACCAGCTGAAAACCCGGGCTGGGTCGGGTCGTAGATCTTAAACCGACCCGATCACAACTCTAATCTACTTAGTAAGCGAAGCGGTCACAAGGCTGACAATCTTACTCATGACGCGTTACATAGATCGACAGACTTGCGTGTAGACTTCTGGAAATGATCGCATGAACCCTTGATGCCTCCCTCCTTGAGATGGCATCCACCATACTTTAGGAACGGTAAGGGCGGTCGATGTTGGATTAAAGTTGGCGCACGACGTAAACTAACATGCGGCCGAGCACGCGCGATGAGTTCAAGATCGCCATCATCTGCGCTCTCCCAGTTGAGTGCGACGCGGTCCTCGCGCCGTTCGACGAGACCTTCGACAAAATCGGGCCAAATCTGCGGGATCCATCCTGGAGACGTCAACGTATATGCCAATAGCAGAATTGGCCTGCACAATGTAGTATTGAGTCAGATGCCCGGCATGGGAAAGGTCAGTGCGACTGGTGTCGCATCTAACTTGTGCATCAGCTTTCCCGGCCTAAAGCTCGCTCTGGTGGTCGGAATCTGCGGTGCTGTGCCGTTTCCGTCTAGCACGGCGTCAAACTGAGCGGAGATTATCCTGGGAGATGTTGTCAGTGATTGCATCGTCGAGTATGACTTTGGACGGCAATATCCAGATGGGTTCAGGCCGAAAGGAAACATACAAGATTTGCCTATACGACCAAATCGCGATATATGAGCTGTGATCTTTAGTCTGAAGTTGCGCGAAACACGGAGGGAATTGGAAAAGGGGCTATCTCATAATCTGCGGAGTCTTCAGGCGCAGAATCCCACATGGCAGCACCCCAGGACTGCGCATGACGTGCTCTTTGAGGATTCCTATCGCCATAGGCACTATCAAAATGATACTACGTGCGTATGTGCCGACTGCCCGTCAAGTAGTGATCTTGTGTGTGAAATGGCCCTTCTGAAAGATTGTAAGAGCCTTATGTGCGCAGGAAATCCTGTCATTCGCGAACGACACGAAATCCGAATCCACTGCTCCAGTTGTGCATATTGGACTGGTGGCATGTGGCGATACTGTGATGAAGCCGGGGAAACACCGTGATAGATTAGCAGAAGCATAAGGAGTCATTGAGTTCGAAATGGAAGGGGCCGGAGTCTGTGGCATTCTCCCATATGTGATCATTAAGGGCGTTTGTGACTACGCAGATAACCATAAGGATACGAGGTGGCAGCGACGACGCACTCCAAGGTTAAATGGATGATGCCGAGTCGCAATCGAGTTGACATCGAGCAACTATTGGGGGCCTGTCAAACAGAAAATGAGCATCGTCTTGAACTGATTTCAGAGAATATCTCAAGCGCCATACACAACTTCATAGATACAAAAGTATCCCAACTGGCTTCGTTACAGTGTCATCCGGATATTCAGGAAAAGATCAAGGATCAATTGCGTTGGAAGTCCGATGGAAGGGCATTACTCGGCTAGAATAGGAACCATGTCTGGAGAAGCTCGGCACAGGTGCGGGTGATGGAGTACGCAAGTCTGCCCGACAAACACTGCAAGAATTAAAAGCACTGGATAGGCAAGAAATTGAACTCCATATTGAGACACGTAGTTTCTTGCTCGCGCGGGGGAGAGGAGACTAATTAGTGACGGCTCAGCCAAACACACGGATATGAAGTTGAAGAAGCGGTGCTATTATGGTCGAACCAACTTTCTTTGCAGTATTGAACCTGGCCTTAATGTGCAGGATCGTCACGGCAGCATCTAAGCATTCCAACGCCGTTTTAGTGCCTATGCAGAGAAGTGGATCCCAACATCATCGAGAAATAAAGAGAAGTCTAATTTTGTCCAAGACTTGACGCTTTGTAACCAACCATATTCTATTGCTTACTAGTTGTCACCAGAAACTGAAGTTGCAAAAAGTGGTATGGGCATTTTTAGTTAGCCTAATAGTACCAAGGTATGCCAACCCTTGGCTGGAACTTATGGCCTAGGGCTAATTCTCCCGGGCACCGCGTGTGTTAAACGTCCTCACTACCAGCGAAAGATATAATGTAGACTACCGTTATTGTCATTGTAAATCAAGAGATCTCTGCAGTAAGCCCGCCAACTGTTTAAATTACTTGATATTAGCATAAGATATAACATGTACGGTGGTGCACTCACGTCAGTCACGTCGACCTGCCGAACACCGTGCTGCACACCAAGATACTTATACCGACCCTCGCGATACCCGCCCGGGGGGGCAGCATCTTTCATCACTCTGCGACGAACATAATCGTCAGCTCCACGCTGGAAGAGCAGCATACAGACCCCACTACCTTCCATGGGCTGGGAGTACATCAACTCCAAACGCGCATAGGCCATGCGTACTGCCTCGCCGAATGCACTTCGAAAGAAGTTGGAAAACGTTCTCTTATGAAGAGGAGAAGACACATCCAAGCGCCGCTCACCATCCAGCACATCTTCAATTCCCCGCCCATGCGGCACTCCCCGTGCCACCAAGTGAAGATGGTACACCTCCTGCGCAACATCTTCGAATACCTCGATGGCAAACACTAGCGCCGCTCGAACATCGCGCACTCGAACGGCTGTCCTCGTAAAAATATCACGAAGAACATACTCGACTTCGTTAACTGCCCTCGTCGAACCAATTGAACAACGGCCCGTGTAAGTTTGTTCCCACGTATATTCCCCGTTCGTTTCCATTTCCGAGCAACGTTTGGCGTACATCAAACCACAAATACATTTCCTCCGTACTTATAATACTCCATACAATGATGTAGCTCTCATACCGTAGTCGGATCAATTCCCCTCCCCTGAGATATCCCGTATCATGTCCAATGCGGGGTACACGTTTCGCCAAGACTGTCGTACTTTTTCAGCCTTCATAAATCTAAACAGTGCAAACAGACATATGGAAAGCAATGCAACCAACAATGGCTGGATAATGGCACTTGAAGGTCACAAGGACAGCATACCATCAATATTCTATTCTGCTGAGACAATATCATGGGACACCAGTAGCGGAATTTACAGGAAGATAATTTCCCGCGAATACGGCAGACCGCTGCTTTCCCGCCCGATAGCCGTACTATGGTATCCATCGTGGGCGACTACAAAGCCCACGACTACTGGATGAACCTCTGGGACAGCGTGACTTTTAAGGGCCAGAAGGGTTCTGAAAGGGCATACAGCAGCGACCACATGCGTTATCTTTACCTCTGATAGTTAGACTTTTGCGTCGGCATCACGAGATTGCACAGTCCGCATCTGGGATACAGCAAAGTAACATTAATAAACATTTTCTACTAGTATTGTTTGTCCATATCCGAATGTGGATTCTCTCCAAACGATGAACATCATAGTAGAATGATCCGCATGCCTATTTGGGCTGACAGGTCGGTGGAAGATTGTATTGCATATGGCCAACGGTGTGTTGCCTTTAAGTGACTTAACCACGATTGCGCATCATCACACTCCCAAATCCGCATCCTTTATGTATACACTGGATTACATCCCATTTCTCCATCTCGGTCACTTGGAGTCTTTCCCGAAATTACTTGCATGGGAATTGGGTATGGTGGGACTCAAGGCCTTCAAGACGCGCCCACGTTAGTTCCGTGGAAGTGGTTGCTCCCGGAAGCCCACGAGGTATAGCACAATGACGGCGGAAGTAGGAACTGACCCACCTTTCACTAGAGATACACGCCATGATCACTAAGTGGTGGATCAAGTATTTTTCCCGTCAGAGGGTCGGTCGGGGAGTAGCTCAGGGTAGTGTCTGTTGATTGGGTGAAATCAGACTCGAAAACGCGGATTGTCCTTAGCATCAACGTAATGATCTACTGGTTAAAAAGAAATTAACCTTAGTCTGTCACTGAAGGGGACAGTATTCTAGGAATTTAGAGTGTTGCCGGATAGGTTGAAGGTAGGGAAACCATGATCCATTGTAAGACAGGCCTATCCCATGCGATCGAGTGAGGGTTAGAGGTGTCTTTGGATCAGGGACTGGCGCTGCCTGCATAATGTGAGGCTGTCCTCAGCCCGTCAAGGGTCCCTCATCCCTGAAACCACAGCCACAGCTCCTCAACATTGGACATCATCCGTCTGACTAGTGGTTTAACGGGAAAGGTTCTAATTTGAAGATCATCGGGCAAGCGAGTGCCCGAACCCCTTCCCTGGTGATCAGGCCCGTTTTTATATCGTTTCGCATTGGCCAGTTGCTCGTTTTGGCCCCCAGTGCCAAGATATCGATATTACGATGAGGCTGAAGGAGGGAAGGAATGCCGATCATCACCATTCTTTCCAACCACCCTCAGATGGGATGGTCCGGGGTTGTCTTTCGTGTCCAGTCGCCGCGCACTCAGAAATACAGGTTTCCCCTGGCAATTCCAGTAACTTTGGAGGACAATCGTAGCACCACGATTTTGCGACTTTTATTTGGGGAGAAGGAACCCAAGATTCGCCAAACTATTTTAGGGCATGTGGGCAGATTGGCATTGGTAATGGCTGTGCCCGAACGATTAACCATCGTCATAATCACATAGAACCAATTGGGAGTTTTGGGGGTCTGACATGGTCTTCTGTCTATACTCTCCGTTCGATATGTTCTATGTTACCCTCTAACCTTCATTCCCTTGTGCGGTGCTGCAGCCCTTGTACTACTCACGACTTATGCTACAGAGGGTTGTGCTTATACTATCGAGAGCTAACCAGTAATACGTAAACAATATGGCGATCCCGAAGGATACAGTAAGATTCAAAATTGATGTAGATTCCGAACTCGACATAATATCTACCGATCATCACTGTCTGCTGCACCGCCTCGCCGGATTGCAGCTGAGTCGCAATCTTTCCCGACCTCCGTGAGGGCGACATTTAAATTGATCTCAGAATTCCCATCTTTTGATTTCTACATCTTCCCTGGACCTAAATTTGATCGCTGTGAGAAGGCAGGATAGCGCACCGAAAAAACTATGGAGGCGGTCAGTGCTGCAGCTGCCATACTGCAAGTGGCGCAGATGGCCGGTCAAACTGCTATCAAAGCCCACGATTGTTTTTCCATCATTCAAAACGCTCCCAATGAGATCAATGCGATCAACCGTGATATCGCAGCGTTTCAGACACAAGTGGACAGACTCGCGAGATCATTGAGCAGCCCCACTTTCTCTGATATTGTCAACGCCGATCCAGAGATAAGCGACGCTATTCTGACTCTGGAAAGCCCCATAGCGAACTGCAATGAAGCGTTGAATCGGATAATGCAGAAGATGGAACCATATCTCAAAGTCGAGGCATCATCCCCAAGTCCCAAGACGCATGGTGTGGATTCTCCACCTGCCGGTGGGACGCGAATGAGAATGTTGTGGTTTTGGAGACGAAAAGAAGTCTTTGGATTGACAATGGAGCTGGAACGTACAAAGTCCACTTTTGATAATGCCATGGGAAATGTGAAATTTGTATGTGGGCAGCTGAGCATATCTCCGTCCGTCCTTTCCCCCCAATCACTTTGCAGGTACTAATCAATGAGTCTAGACTGCTCTCGCTGAAATTAATTACAGGCTCCGAGACGACACCTCACCCAAAAAGTCGAGATTTTGATACGGACGTCGGATCATCGTTGACCAACTATGCTGCATCGATAGTTGCTGCCGCCTCAAACGATGGATTCAATGCGTCTTCTAGGTACTCAATTACTTCCGCGGAAACACGCGCGGCTGATCTGCCTTCTGGCCCCGAGGCGGCTGAGCAAATCAAGGTCGCTATCTCTCATGGCGGTGTGTTGCTTTTAAGAGCCATCTTGCAACATGCTCACGTTGACGCACGCGATAAGAAAGGCCGTACGGCACTGTCCCATGCGGTCGAAAAGGGACAAGTGGAGATCATAAAAGTTCTCCTTGAATGCGGTGCATCCGTGTCAGCTCGCCAGTGGAGTGTCAGTGGCTGGGCAGGCGGTAGAAACCCCTATAAAGAAAGTGGTGCGACGGCAGTGTGGTATGCAGCGAGGTATAACCAGCTAGAGATCCTCAAGTTGCTTTTAGAGCGTGGGGCCAACGCTCAAGTGCGAACGACGTGCGGTAATACTCCACTGTCAGCGGCGTGTCAGCAAGGGTATACCGACATTGTTAAAGTACTGCTATCGAAAGGGGTGGGTGTGAATACCCGGAATTACCACGACGTTAGTGTTTACCCTCAAGCAATCCCCGAATGCTCCGAAAGCTAATTGATTCCTTGAATAAAGGCTACGCACCTATACATGGAGCAGTCAGTGGGGATTTCATAGAAATACTGCAACTTTTGCTCGACCACGGAGCTTTCCTGGAAACTCCCACAATACAGCCCGAAGGAAAGAACGCCCTCCACTTTTCCGTCACATGTAGGAGACTCAACTCCTTGAAAATACTCCTAGAGAGGGGTGCTGATCCCAATGCACTCATGATTGAAAGGGTGACTCCTTTACATCTAGCTGCTGCTGCAAATTGGATCCCGGGAATTGAACTTCTGATGGAACATAATGTGTTCATCGATGCCAGAGATAGTCTTCTTCACGAGACACCTCTACACAAAGCAGCGCGAAACCGTCACCACAAGGCAATACAAAAGTTGTGTGAACTGGGTGCAAATCAGCAAGCAAAGAACGTGGATGGTCAGACGTATCAGGAGATTCTCGAATATGCATTGGATGATCCAGATGAGTGGGGAGTATATCCGCATCTAGGAGTTTACATCTGCAAAGATCTATGGCTGATAACTCACTAAGTAGTAGCGTAGAGTCAGATTGCCAGTGTGGACTTGTTGGTCCCGGGATTGACACATGACAGTCTGGTCATACTGCATAAACAGGAGATATATGTTTGGGTATAATCCGACTCGTTGAACTTGAAATATAACTATCCAATATCCAATATCCAATCCACAGCACCTCCTACCCAAGGGCGTAGAACTAACACATTACAACGTTGTCGCAAATTGTTCTCAGCTTCTCGAAAAGCGTCTTCTCGCTCCGAAGACTCAAAAAAGAAAGGACCGGAAAGCAAGACTCGACATCTCAGGAGAGAGATGGCTGGCACCCCTTCCCATGTACCATGCATATGTGAGACCTGCTGGCCTCCCCATTGCTACTAACAAACTGTGCTAACTAGGTATATGGGGGCAAGCGTATTATTGTGTCAATGCAGCCATACTTCAGGCCAAAGTCTTTATCATGAAATCCTTCTCTGTTCAGAAATACTTGTTGTATATGGACATATACCGAGTAACGTTCATGGCGACTGTCCCGGCCATCATGGCAAGCATTGCCAAGCAACCGAATCCTTCGATCTACAACTTGCAAGCTGTTCAGACAGTGCTCAGTGGATCAGCACCATTAAGCCCTGATCTTGGCCGCATCATTGAAGGGATATACATTCGATCCGGCGTATCGGTCAAGCAGGGTGGGGGAATGACAGAGTCAACTTGCTCGGTTACAGGATTTGCCCCAGATGATGAAGACGACGGAAGATCTATTGGATGGCTGAATCCAAACCGTGCGGCAAGGATCGAACGTCTGGATGATCGCAATTTCAGTGGCGCTGCCCCTGCGGGTGCTACTGTTGGGGAGATATGGGTCACTGGGCCGAACATTATGAAATGGTATTACAAGAACCCAAAGGCAACCAGAGAAGCTATAGTCGTGGCTGGTGGAATCCGATGGCTGAGAACTGGTGACATCGGGTACATTGACGAGCGAGGGTGTATTTATATTGTGGACCCCTTGAAGGTCAGTTATGCTGTGACTACACCGCCGTGAGACATACATTAAATAAGATCCAACAGAACTTGATAAAGGTGAAAGGTCTTCAGGTAGCTCCTGCTGAGCTCGAGCAGTATCTTCTTACCAACTCAGATGTTGCTGACGCAGCAGTCATTGGAGCTAAAATGTGAGTATACTCCGCTCCAATTAATGCATTGATTCATTCGACATATAAATCCCAAATTGGAGGTACTCTTTTCTAACGGAATGATAATCTAGGAATGGAGGAGAGTACCCACGGGCATTTGTGGTTCGCAAGACAGCTGCCGTGACAAAGGAATACCTTGCCCAGATGATCAAATCTCACTTTGCGCCTCACAAATGGCTTACTGGTGGTGTGTATTTCCTTGATTCAATTGTGCGGACAAGAAGTGGAAAGGTAATCCGCCGGGAATCGCCTGTTATCGAGACAAATCTCCAGTCCATTCGTGGTCGGCTGTGATGTTTCTGGTGCTCCAACCTCGAGAATATGCTCGACTATGAGAAAAAGAGCCAGTGATCTTTACCGAGCTTTCTGTTGAAAATAGAAGCCTGAAGTCCAGGACTGTGATTTGAAGAAGCGTTTGACGGGACTCGGCTGAGCCAATGAACATAAAGCCAAGGCTTGCAAAGGACTTGGTTGCCTCACAAGACGTCTATAAACGCCATCGAGTTGCTACAAGTCCCAAGGCTACAGTGGCATATGTTACAGAGTTTACAATAGTCATCCTGCTTACCCAGTAAAACACACTAAATTGGTAATCTAATTGCTGAGTTCGCTGTGGAAGAAAAATTATCTGTTAAGTGGGATGGGCGCACGTTTTGGCGACACGTCAATGCTTTCACCTTGGAGGATACCCCAAAACCAGGCTTCAGCGCTATGAAGCAGATTGATGCTATGGAAATGAGATGAACCAGAGAGGACACTTTCACAGGTAAGATTATTTTGTAGCTGTTCGCAACTTCATCCGTGGGTCATCATTTTACTTCGTTATCCCGAGATGCGCCTCGGCATGGTCTGTGACCCCCAGTGTTGGATCACATCCATGGGATGAACGAAGATTCGGGACAAAGTGTAGATAATTCGCAGGACTATATATACTATGATATAACAGGGTGTAGCTCCTTATGTGTCGAATACTTGGCTTGCCTAATTATTCAGTCGTCCTGGAAGTTTAGCTTGGTATATTTTCATTGCTATGTTATTATCCGACGAATCCAACGGGTATGATGCATCATACAATGGCTATAGAGCCACTAACGTCGGAGAGTAAGATGTGAGCTACAAAGTTGTCGAGTAACCGATCCGGACCAGACGTCTTATCCGACTGGGTGTGTATGGATGCTGCATATTCGGGCCGTATGATGGGTATCGTGTACGATGAACAGAGGAGAGATAAGAATGCCGAATTAGTAATCTATGAGCGTAATAATGATCTTGGGGTGACCTGGCTCGAGAATCGGTATGTCTACAGCTACATGCGAGTGTGGTCCTGTCTTGTGATTGAATGTTTAAGAGATGAAGCTGACTACATATATATGTAGGTATCCTCGTTGCAAGTGCGATATCCCGGTCCATAACTACGTCTACGGCTTTGCTCAAAATCCAAATTGGCCGAACTACTATGCTACCCCAGAGCAGATTCACGAATACATGAAGAGCAGTCGAAATGGATTATTGGGGTGTGAACACCTGACAGAACGATTATCCAAGACGGAGTTGATGAGTTTATCAATGCTGGTGGAGTTCTGAAGTCAGCACTCCGACGATGAATACCCCAATCACCCATTGCGCTAACAGAATGGTTTTAGCAAATAGAAATAGCCAAGCATCGAGGGGCTTCAAGACTTCAATGGAAAGCTTGTTCTCTCAGCAATTTGGCATCAAGAATATGATTTTGCCGGGAAGAGGGTGGCAAATATTGGCATTGGCTCTTCTAGGGTTCAGATTGTTGCCCAATTGGCCAAAGTAGCGAACTCGATGGATGTGTATATTCGGACGCAGACTTGGATGTCTCCTGTACCTGGGGTCAACGATCCCATTGGCAACGATCCTGACATGGATTCCGAGTTCATGTGTGGGTCTCCAAGTACTGATATTTACTTTCGCTTATTATTCGACGCAAGCCACAATAAATCCCATATATCCACTTCTCAGCCCAGCCCTCAATTAATCCACAGCATATCCAGCCGATTATCAAGAAATTATATTATTATTATATACTATATCCCTTCATTAACAAGGGATTCAGTTAACTCTATATTGGAATGTGTTTTCGTCTCAGCCAAGTAGTCGTTTACTAGACAATCACCTTCAATATCTAGATAGACCTGCTGACGATGCCATCTTAAAATATGGAAATAATAATGCCTATTACCTATTCTTGTGGAGCTTCAACTTTTAGCTAAAAGAAATTCAGCTTCTTAATTTTGTTTAGCTAACAGAGCTGAGAAGTCCTGTAAAATAGAATTTATCAACTATTATTGTAGATTGTCCATAAGAATGTTTTATTATATGGTATTGCTTAGCTAAGCCACTGAAACTATAATTATTAGGTTGAGAAAACAATGAGGGGTATCTTTTACTCCTTACAAATCCGGTAAGATTCTGCTAGTACGCTACCCTCGCATGACGGGGTGATGGAGCGGCTAAAGTTGAATGTATAGTGGGCGCCCTATCTAGTAATAGTAGCATGCGATCTTCTAGAAAGGATACACAATTCAATAGTCAAGAAGGAACGGGAAAGAACGGGACAGAACGGGACAGATCGACAGGATTAGGGCGGATACCGAACTGTCGGTCTACTCCGACAATCAAATAGGATTCTCCTCACTAGCCGTTTGCTAAAATAGACTGAGAATTCAAAGTGTATGAGCCTTAGGCAGAAAAAACCCATGGCTTCCTATATTCGAGTCAGGGTATTTCCTATTTATCGATTCCATGACAAAGGACATATATAATTGGCCCGGAACGTTATAGGAATGCAGATATATAACAACAAAAGCTTGTTATCCCTCGACCCTGAGACGAAACATTCATTCGTAAACATCAAACACAGTGGATCTTCCATGCCTTCACGTTAACTTCCTCCATTGATTTACAACCCGTCTGATAGTTATACTCCGGCTGAGACAGCGCTCCACCCGTGCAATTACCCTCGGTATACAGTATCAATTTGGCGGTCATGTTCTTGCACAGGTTCTCATCTTCGTGCAACCCTATCAGACTATACGCCCGTGTGTGCTCGGACTCAACAGACACGCACTCGTCCACCGCAGTGGCTGTGGTATTTGATTCAGCAATGTCGCAGCTGGAGTCATAGAAGGTCTCCAGGTAAATGGGCTTCTTTTCTGATACCTTGGGGCACTGCAACTTCCACGACTCGAACACAGAATCAGTGGTATTTGTTGTTTGGCATCCCGTGATATTCGAGGGGAAGCTTTGAGAATCCCCTGAACACCAGGGAGAGGCAAAAAGTATGGCGACCGGCGCGGAGTTATCGGGGCATTTCGGCACTGACGGATCAGAGGAAAGCTTGACGGAGCTGGTGGCGTAACGAGTCACAGTGAAACACTTGTCTAGCTCAGTAGCGTCTTCAGCAGTGCCAGGGTTTTTACACTGCGTATCTCTGAAAGTAGTGATTTCCGGTTTCGTTGCTGCCAGGGTGCAAACTGCGTTGGCGATAAGGAGGAGGATGGGAACCTAGAGGAAATTCGTGAGTTGGATTGTAAGATTCCGATAGTCGTTTCGTCGAGAGCCTATGTATAGATAGACATCTTACCTGGAATTTGACCATAGTGAAAATATGCGGTAGTTTGATTTTCTTGGTTAGTTCTGATCAGATATCGTGGATGTTGATTTTTATTGTAAAAAAAAGTTTGGTCGGGACACTGAGATCTAATTATACATTTTCTCCAACGTAACAGAGAGCGGAAGCCATACTACTGAATTAATTCTACAGAGACTAGCGCAGCTGAAGTCATGAATGTTCATGTGAAGTGGATCCGTAAACACGACCCGCTTCGACTGATAGTTCAATAGATTTGCGATCCAAGACGAACGAGGTCCAATAGTCAGCCCCACTACCCATCGAAATTTGCCCCAAGATGCATGGCAATCATCGTACTGCTGAAGCAGATCCTTACCCTCCGAGACTCGACAATGTTACGATACTCATGCAGTATCCGCTCACTTTTTACTAGACAAGGCTAAAGTGTATAAAACAAGGACTTGACAGTAAGTCTCGAGTAGAGATTAGAATCTCATTTACATCGTTTCCATAGCATGGCTTATATCAGACATTTATTGTTCCATGGTGAGAGAGCATATATATACATTACATCCCCTATTACTGGCACTAGACTATCGATTGTCCATCCAGACTTGTAAAGATCTAACCACTTCTAATTATCCCTAGAATATCACCTCTTTACCAACAACTACCCTCAAGGAGTCTGGCTTGGGCGGGGAGCGCACCGCGCGTGCCATGATGCAGCAGTGACCAAGGTATGGTTTTTACTAAGAGGAAGACAGCCTTCGAGATCGTAAAAAGTGATGCCATCTCCTTTACACTCCGGCTCACCATACACACTGAGGACGACGGCAGAGTCGGAAGGGCACTTAATCGCGCTTGCATCAGGCCCAAACTCAACTGACCGGAGCTGTTCTTTGGTCATGTCGACACACAAATCGAAACTGCCAGTGCCACTGCTGAAGATTTCGGTTTGACACTTAGCGTCAGAGTAGGCATACAACGAGTAGAATGAGCTTCCCGCATGACTGAGAGCTGAGCTGGCGATGAGGAAAAGGGTAGGGAGCTAGAGGTGGAAGTTTAGCTACTAAGTATTGGTGTTTTAGTTATTTATGCGTGGATGGATAATACCTTAAAGTTGGCCATGTTTATGAATGGATCGATGAATTGAATGAGAGATTGAATGGAGGGTTGTAGGATGCTGAGAATACAGGTGGAAATTGGTGCGATATGAGCTCTATTTATGCTCCACCGAAAAAGCAAAACTAGTAGCCTTGTATTCTCTGAACCTTTGTGAACTCGGGCGTGGCTGAAACTGCAGATCGCTACGTATTGCCCGGACTCCAGAGTATACTGTATACTTGCCACTATTAGGTGCACTAGGTCAATGGTGACGAGAGATCGACGGACCCGCTCGGGCTTGGCCAGGAAAGTGATCCATTGGGATGGGCTCTTCTATGCCCCACTGCTGGAACTCATTCACCAGTCCAAAACAAGCTGGCATGCCATTGGGTAGGCCCACGAATGGCACGGAGATGGTAATTGCCTCCCTAACCGCCGGAAAGAGGGCTCGTATATCCTCCACGATTTTACCTCTCGTGACATCTTGAACCAAGCGGCCCACAGCATCGCCGCGGCCTTGTGCACATAGAATAGCGATCTGGGCAAGACGTTAGCTCCACAAGACAAACTCTCCCCATCCCGTACTCACAACGATACTGGCGGCCAGTCTGTCGCAAGAAACGGTGTTACTCAATCTCTCGTGCAGGTCGAGGAATAGCTCAGTATTGTATTGGGCAGCATCTGGAGCAATGTTCGCATTGGTATATCGAGTTTCGAATTCGGTCGCCATTCTAATCGTAGCGAAGGGCTCCTGTGGCCATAGGCGACCAAATTCTCCAACATTTATGTACTTGTGAGAATATGATTACAGTGAGCAATCTAAACGGGGTGAGAACTGGCATTCCATGTTGATCATACATGTATGTCGTGCTCCGTGGAGACTGTGGCGATACCCGACGAACAACCCATGATTCCCGGGACAACACGTGCCCGCATAGGACTGCTGTCCATGAGTTGACATGGAAGGCCACTGGGTTTAAAGCAGGTAGCATGAATCAATTCAGGCTCTAGGACAATGAGCTACCTCTCCATGAGCTTTACGATACCATGATTAGAGACACACTGGTCCCCTTTTCGAAAACATCCGTCTTGATCGTCGGAGGTGGGACAACAGGCCTGACGACTGCCCTTTTACTTGCTCGCTATGGCCTGACAGTGATGATTGTGGAACGTCATCATCATCGCTCCGGACAGCCCAAAGCTCATGCGATTAATCCTCGGTTGCTGGAGATCTTTCGTCAGATCGGCCTCGACACCACACGACTACGGAAGTCAGGTGTATCCCCGGAGGATGGCGATACAGTGCGCTTTGTGGTTTCAATGGCAGGGAAGGAACATGCTACACTTCCTTACGAACGACAAGGCCCTGAGACTTTTGAGATCACCCCGGAGCCCTTGTTCAATATACCCCAGCCCAGTCTGGAAGACTTTCTCATCCGCGCCGTCGAAAGCAACGAGAATATCACATTCTACCGGGGTGTGCAGTGGGAAAGCTGTTCTCAACTTGAACTGGGTGTCCTCTCTTCGAATATCAGGAAGATGGTGACTGGTGCCTTAATGGTCGTGGAGAGCGCATACGTTCTGGATTGCGGTGGTGCCAACTCGCGCGCCCGAGATCTGTTGGGGATTCCATTTTCGCCGTTACCTCAGTATGTTCAAAAAGAGGTGCACCATCTCTCAGTTCACTTCAACGCTGATCTCACGCGCTTCAACCCCGGGACGTTGTGGTGGATTTCGTCCCCTCGCGCCGACGGCACAGTTATCTGCTATGATCGAGCGTACGACTGGATCTTTGTCACATACTATAACCCAAAGACTACGTCACCAAATAAGTTTACTGAGCATTACTGCCGAGAATTGATAGACAATGTGCGTGTCCGTATGACTACTTAGCTTGGGAGAGTCTGCTAACTTCGTAACTTATTTAGGCTATTGGAGAAAAGGTGCCGTACGGTATCCTCTCAATTACAGCCTGGTCAACATGGCCCCGCACCGCGGAATTCTATCAATCAAAGCAATTTCCACGGGAATTTGTCGTGGGAGATGCCTTTCCACCCACGGGAGGTCTTTGGGGTGAACACCGGCATCGCAGATGCCCAAAACCTTGCATGGAAGATTCATGCAGTGGAAAGGAGATGGGCTGAAGAGGCTATCCTATCCACCTACAGTGAGAAAAGACGACCTGTGGCGGTCGCAAATGCCTATCAAAGCGTGAAGAATCAGGTCAAGTTGCGGAACTTGAAGGTCGCCTTGCGGCACCCTCCGGTAGATACAGAGCTTCGGGCGATTGGACCATGTGAAAGAGAAGCTGGATTGTGAACTTCGGGCCAATGCAGAGCACTTCGACTCGATCAGATTACAGATTGGCTATCGTTACGGCGAAGACGAGGTTCCGGACGAGCCATGCGATTATTATTCGCCGAGCAACAAGCCTGGGTCGCGACTTGTGCATGCCTGGATCTCCGTTGCAGGCCAGTGGCTGTCTACGTTGGATCTTGTGGACGGCATGAGCTTCGTGCTGCTTTTGTCTGATCATTCAGCTAGAGCTTTGGCCGATGCTGTGCGCTCCATAAACCTCCCGGTGATCATATATACACTCTGCATGGGCTCTGACTTTGTTGTTTTGAACGCTTCGTGGGCCTCTACCGTAGGGCTTTCAAGGCCTGCCTCCGGACTTCTGGTTCGTCCCGATCAACATATTCTGGGAAATGTGACATCGGTGGAGAACATCGAGCGACTTCTGGCCGCCTGCCTTTGCTCTTGACTCTATACCGCTATATAGCTTTCAAGTAGTTGAGCACATGAATTATAGGCTTTAAGCGACTTACGGTCAAACTAGACCCTGAACAGATGATAGCCAGTCTTACTTCAAACCAAAAGTTATGAAAATTGTACGTTTTTGCTATCCGTATTACATGTGGTTTACGATCTGTCCAATCCCACACCACTTCTACCGCAAAGTTATTCGCGCGGTCGAAATGCACGGGTCTCAGATAACTGAAAAATGACAAAGGAAGGTCCTCTGTAACTCTACGACTCGTCACTTCCAAGGCCATTCATGATGTAGTGAACTCGATCCTGGACTCCCAATACGCGCGATTCAAGTCGAGCTCCGTGGGATCTCCACATCCCCGGTATCCCTATCACCCATGGGGGGGGCCCATCACATAAACAAAAAGACTGGATGCGCAGCAAAGCCCAGAAGAACGCCCATGAAGTAAAGTCACAATGGGCTCAATCTTCCAATCACCTAGAGCGATCGGCGCAACGAGCATACCATACTACACCCCCGTCAACAACCCTGGTGCAGCGGTTGACCCAGGCCCCAAGACTCCCACGCTGTTTCAACCACTCCAAATCCGCGATGTCACGCTCAAAAACCGCATCATCGTGGCGCCCATGTGCATGTTCTCTTCCGAGGGCGAGCCCAGCTCCCCGAATGTCGGGGCTCTGACGGATTTTCACATCGCGCATTTGGGCCATCTGGCCACGAAAGGTGTGGGCATAGTGATGATTGAGGCGACCGCGGTGCAGCCAAACGGGTGGAGATCTCCCAACGACTCCGGTCTCTGGCAGGAGGGGACCGACCCTGGTCAGTTCAAGGCGTTGCGTCGGGTCGTGGATATGGTTCACAGCCAGGGAGCCAAGATCGGCATTCAGCTGGCGCATGCTGGGCGCAAAGGGAGCGTGGTGACTCCCTGACTGGGTGAGCGCGGCATCCCAATTAAAGCTGACGAGAGCGTTGGAGGGTGGCCCGACGATATGGTCGCACCGACTGGAGGCGAGGAGTTTAAATGGGCGCCGGGACAGACGCAGTACTGGGCTCCGAGAGATCTGAGTATTGGCGAGATTCAGGATCTTGTCACCTCGTTTGCGAGAAGTGCACGCACAGACGTGGCAGCTGGCGTAGATATCATTGAAGTCCATGGCGCGCACGGCTATCTGCTACACGTATTCCTCAGTCCGGTCACTAACCGCCGAGAGGATCGGTATGGTGGGAGCTTTGAGAACCAAGTCCGGATCGTGCGAGAGGTGACCACTGCTATCCGCGCCGCAATCCCGAATGATGTACCACTGTTTCTTCGCATTAGCGGTACCGAGTGGCTGGACGGGACCTCCTGTGCGGCGAATACTGGAAGCTGGGATCTGGCATCGTCAATTCAGCTTGCCATGTTGCTTCCGGAGTTTGGGGTGGATCTGGTGGACGTGAGCTCTGGTGGAAATCACCGAGAGCAAAGCATCCAGCACCATGGGAACTACCAAGTGGATTTGGCGGGGGAAATTCGCCAGACGATTCGGGCAGCTGGACAGAATACCTTGGTCGGTGCCGTGGGGTTGATCCGGGATCCTGAAGCAGCCCGCGATATCGTGCAAGGAGCAGACCAAGAATTCCCTGGCATGGATGCGGGAGCACTGATGTGGCTTATTATCGTTGGTCTGACGCTCATTTCTTTTATACGGACCACGTTTTGGTTGATTGCATCTGGTAATTGCGACCCACGAAATGGGCAGAGACACAAACAAACCTCATCGAACATCGCGGATGAGCCGATGGCCTTCTCGAATGAACGTCGCGCGAAGCAAAGGGACAGGAGGGCAAGTCAAGGGATGGACAGCAGTAGGGGCCCTGAAGGCACACCATCAAGAAGTAGCGAGGGAAGATATGACACGATGCATCAGTATGGGACTTTCTCCTTTGAAGGCCGAAACGGCTTGGCTTTGCCAGAAGCATCTGTGCAATGGTATGCGACCACGGTCATAAGCCCGCTGCTTCTCTGGATTGCGCAGTGGCTCTTTTGGGGTGGATTTATTGGTCTTAGTTCGGAAGAGTATATTCATGCACACATATTTGGGTCATATTTGGGTCATATTTGCTAATCAGAATTAGGTTCTGTCCCCCTAAGCTTGGGATTCTCGCAGCTGTCTGGGTTGCTTACTCGTTGACAGGCGTTATTCTCATTCTGTAATCGATTTTGTTGTCCATGCAGAATGATGGAGCCAAGACAGATCATACACTACCGAGAAACCACGTGGCACGAAGTATACAATATCTAGATCTCTGGCAGTCACTAAGATTAACCAATCATTCCCGATCCCAACTAATACCCTTACTCCGTCCAGCCCTCGGGAATGGCAACACAGTGGGCGCGATACCTTACTTTCTCGGTGGTGGGGCCTCTATCACGTCCTCCATTACCGGGTTTGGATCTGACCAAATCGTGTCAGCGCGGACCATCGTCGCTAAGGACGGCGGGACGCTGCTGGAGGTAACGGACAAGGAGAATTCCGATCTCCTCTGGGCCAAACGAGGCGCCGAGCAGTTCTTCGGCCTGATCACCCAACTCACCATCCGTGCACACCCACTCTCCCTTCTCCGTAAGCAGCAGGGACTGATCTGGACGGGGGCCTTCATCTTCCCACTTGAACAGGCCTCGGAGGTCGTTCCCGTGATGAAGAAGTTGATGGCTGATGCCCGGCATGCGACGGCAGGCTTTGATGATGATTTTTGCGCCGCCACCTACTCGCACTCTGTCCCTGGTCATCGCCGCGCGGTACACCGGTGACGAGGACCCACAGGTCCCCTTTAAGCCACTATACGATCTGCATCCCCTGGCGGCAACCGGATACGATGTTCCCATTCAGAACGCCAGTGACGCACGAGAGGTGCTTTGCGCGAAAGGCGATTTCAAGCAGTTTGGCGTGGTCGGACTACATGAGTTCGACGCAGAAGGTTTTCTGTGGACCATTGACACCTGGAGGAAACTGGTGCAAGACTGTCCAGACGCAATACATACTGGGTTCAACTTTCAGTGGGACTCGTGGCCGGCTAAGACGCCTGAGGTAGACTCGGCTATGTCTTTTGCATGATATCCGTTACTGGCAGTGCGTATTGTAATCTATTTCTCACTGAGGCCTTCTAGAAGCCCAGTATGTTGATGCTAACTATGTCTAAATAAAAGGAATAACTTGATCTGGAACACTCAAGAAACCAACCGCCATAAAGTGGATGAATACAACGATGAGTGCCTCACTATTATGCACGGTGGTGACGAGCCACGCTTTGTAGACTTCCAGAATGGCACTCGCCCTGGACCCATCCAGAGAAGGTATCGCGGCAAGGCACGGTTGGTGAAACTACGCCAATTAAAAAGAGAGTGGGATGCGCAAGGTGTGTTCACCAGAGAGCTGCTCGACCGAACGTAGTGGAGCATATTGCCACCAGACGTGAGAGTGCGGATGGTTTCTGGCAGGGGAATTTCTGGTAGAACAGAGCAATACAACGCTGGACCTTTTTTCAATTCACCCATGCATGGCATGGAGATTAATCAGCATGTAGTGGTAACATGACACCAGCTCCCTAACGGGGCACATGCCTAATGCATTCATGGAATATATTAGAGCCCCAGACTCTGGCTCTTGGCCTAAGTCACCAAATATTTGATTATCCTGACAGTCTTACTGCCATCTCACTCTTGCATCCTTTTGGCCTGGTTGTTTACCCTCAATGCTGACCCTTGGTCCACTTTTGATTGCCCTCTCCTCCATTGTGACCGCAAGTAGAGGGTACCTCGCCGACTGGAACGGAACCCACGTCTTCAATCCCCAATGGCCCGCACACGCCAAATACCACAATGGTCAAACTATGACCACCGGTCTGCCGTTGGGTCTCAGTTCGCTGTACTATGTCTCTCGGACACAGCATCCTCGTTAGTCGCTCTACGCAGCTGCCTGGCTAACGGCCCTTCATCTCGTCGCGATGCTGAGCGGGATCGTTTACCCCGACTCGCTGCCTGTTGATCCTGAATTTGACGAAGGATTCCCGCAATTGTATATCTGCGGGTTTCTATTGGCCCTAATCATAACAGGACTGATGCTGGAGGCCGGCAGGATGAATGCATCGATGAAGCAAGCCGCCGCCAAGACGCAGTGAACGGCATGTTGGACTACAGGAACATCGAGGTCTAAGGCCAGGAATGCGGATGGGACGTTATGCTGCCGCATTGCATGTAGTTCCACCGATGTAACGACATGGATCAGGAAGGACCTTGAACTAGGACTTGGTTATTGTTTCAACCTCGCGTCACGGAAGAGGAGCAATCTGGGCTGCATGGTGCTAATGCAGGCCTGCCCAGATTCATGAAGAGACTCGGACTGTTGCTTAGCATGTGATTGGCGAGGTTCTTATGGATATGTCTTGCCAACAGAATAACGCATATTAACCACTCCTACTTATGTGCCATAGCTTAGTAGTTTGGTGCTGGCTGTGCCCAGACTGTAGCCCTATCCGCAGTCAGCGATGTGTATATGGCCAGAATCGACATCGCTAGAAGAATATCAACCTCGTCGGTTAGTAGATTAATCACGTCCTGCATTGGTAAATAGTTCCGACCAAGGATGGACCAGACAATCGCACTCAAAAGAGGGGCCAATCGACCATTCTCAGAATCTAGAGTCTCAGCGTTGCTTTCGTCCGGCCATTCACGTTCTGCTGCTTGGAACCAAAAGAGCCATGCTTGTGAAAGCTCTTTCTGTGTTTTGCCTGGTCACCATTCACCTTCAGTCTCCGGCAGGAGGGGTCGGTGCGCTTGCTGCTCTACATGATGTTGTGACGTTGACGAAGGCGATCGCTGAGAAAGGTGTGTCATTACAGTCGATTGCTGAGTACGAACAGAACTTGCGCATATGTGCGAGTGCTTGTTTGGAGAGGAGCTTCCGAGTTGAGGCTGAGTTGGTCAACATGCCGGTTTTCGGCGAATGTAAACAAGTGCATCAGACAGAGAGGTTCCTTTGTTCGAATGAATGTTCGTAAGGTTATTCGTTGGTGGTCTGCCATCTGATTACTACTGACCTGACGGTGTATCACCTAAGTGCGGCTAACAGTCAGTTGTTACCTGCTAGGTGAGAAAGGAGTGATTGAGGGTGAGTGCGTTTGAAGCAGAGTGAGCAGTAACCGTGACCAGCGCATTCTGTTTGTGTGTAGTCCAGAACCTATCTAATTCAACGAGAAGAGCAGTCTAATCAACAACAGTATATTAGAATCACTTCGCTCGGCTTAATCTATAGACAAGTATCTATTCGTAGCCCGGCTAGGCTTCATGGCCAATTCGGGCATGTTCTTCGGATTCCTCGAACAGCTCTACGAGCAGTTGAGAAAGTCTCCATCATTCCCATGGCGCATCACTCCGCAGAACTTGACACGCGTTACTTTCTTTTCTTCCTTGACCTCGAATACAATACGGTCTGGGAGATCCGTCACAGCTTGCCCACCATAAACATTACCAGGGCTGTCCTTATCAAGAGGAAACTCCATCTTCTTCTTCCCACAGTCAAAAGGCAATTTCTCATTATTGCCAAAATAATGCGGGTATTTTCCTATGTGACAGTGAGCAGGGCAGTCCACCGTGCAATATATAAAAATCACTCACTGGCTCCAATTTGTTTACCATCGTTGGCATACTGTGCTGCCTGGATGAAGGCCTTCTGAAGCTGCCCCGACGAGTATTCAACCGGGTTTGCGTAGCGATTGGTCTTGGGACAGGTATGGGCCTTTTCGGGCTTTGCACCAATTTTCAATGTTTTGGAACGCTTCACGATGTCGCCATCACGTTCCTCGTAAAACATGATCGGTGTGATGGATCTCTCCGAGGGGACGCTCACATCGGCGACTGCAGGCTGAGGATAGGCACTGGCAACATCACTCAGTATGGCAACAGCCAGAAGGGCATTGATAGCAACGGAGTGGAAGAAGGAAGGCATTGTGGATCCAAAGACAAGTTATCAATTGCGAGAATGGATTTGCAACCGAGGCTGGTTTGTTGAGATGGGGTAGTTGTGCACTGTCAGAAAATACATAGCAGAACATTATCGTGTCTTTATATCTTGATTTCAACCCCTGGTGTGAGATGAAGAGATACGCTTACATGCAAAGTAATCATAACCAGTGATTCGATATTTCACGCCATCCTACATGTTGACCAGGGTCCAGAGACATGGTGAGATTATGGTTGGGATTAGGGTAGGAACGTATGACAAGGGGTATAGATCGAGTTCACTGGACTCACAAAAAAGGGAGCACCCTCTATAGATAGTCCAGAAGTATCAACAGTCTGACCCCATGGCGCCGAAAGCTGTACTGCACTAATGTGGAAATATTTAGTCGTTTGGATGGTAGAACTGGGCATACATTAGGATACACGTTAGGTGTCTCTGTACCCGCCTTCGGATAGAGTTTCATAAGGCAAAAACATTATATGACAGTCATCTTGGGGTCCGAATCGCGGAAGGAGTGCTAATATTATTCATTTTGGTTGCATTTGTTGAGCAGGCTGCGCTGTCAAGTCAGCCTCGGAGGGAGTTTTGGCCCCACGCGGGTCTTAAGAGCAGGGATGGGTATAAATTCATTCATCCTCCCCTTTCTGAGTCGCCCTTGGTCCTCTTTCGTACTAATTCTCCTCCCTTTCTTTCTGCTCACAATTCCCAGCGATTGAACTGACAACGCCATGCACAACCCTATCAGGAATCCCGAATACGAAGCCTTTTTCAAGGCCCAAAGCGAGGATGGTTGGCCTCCTCCGGCCCATATGATTGACGCGCTCCGATCTCTCATGGCCGACCCTTCCTTTCCTGCATCCGAAGCAGCCCAACAGGCTGCATCGATTTACATCCAACAGTCCGATCCCAATCCAGATTACACGTCACTCTGGCCGCTCCTCTTCGACGCGATTGAGAAGTTCACCGAGCAGAATGACCGGCTGCTTGATTTTCTAGTGGAGTTCCAGCGGCTTCCCGATCATAACGGAGTTTTTCACCAGCTGAATGGGCTCACTGAATATCTGGTGGAATTTGTGTTCGATTGTAGGTCTTCCATAATGCCATGAGTTATAAAAGCTAATTGAGTAGATGTGGATCACCCATTCTACGATACGCAACGGGACCAAAAGCGTCAAGGCTGGGTTAACATCAATGCCTTCACGGCCAAGCTCCATAATACCGGCATTCGTCCGGAGGGCCGCGGTCAACTCCATCACGCGAGTTGGGTCTTGAGGAAGACACTCGAGAAGGCCCCATGGGAAGTATTTCACCATGCAGATATCGAGGAATGTCTGGATTCGCTGCAGGATGGGTACGTTGAGGATTATGAAGGCGAACTTGACGAGGAGTACAACGACAAACGGGATCACTTCCTCGAGGAAATTGACATCCGAACCCTCAACGGATGGATCCCGGGTGCAGCCCAATGGATCATGCTTTGTGGGAAAGAAATCTATGAGATGGAGGGCTCTATGGGCAGGGAATGGCCCACAAAATGGACAGGGATCGAGGGATGGTCGAAAGAGCGATGGGCCTTTTGGAGACAACGATTTGAATGGGCCAGCACGGTGACTGCTCTAGACCGAAAGACTCGACAGCTTGCCCGGGAGATGGTGGATGAAATGAGACGAATTGAAGAGGGAGAGGCATAACTATGGAACTATAGGTTCGAATAGTTAGTTTTCAGAGTTATTATTATTTTTTTTTTAAAAAAAAAAAAGTCCTTTGCTCTTCCGTAATATCACTTATCCAAATGAGGATAAGTTGAAAGTTCTAATTTATATTGAGATATAAATGCGGGGGTGACTCTTACTAACCCTACCCTTACCCAACTCTTCGCCCGCCGACTTCTCCCATTTGATTTCCCAATTGACTCGCCCACTCATGATGAGATCGTGTCTACAATGTCGAGATGCTAAGCGCAAGTGTGTCCTCGCGAAGGAGAGTCGTTCTGAGCAATCAAGATCTCCATGTACCCGCTGTCTGCGCCGTGCTCTTCCATGTTCCCGCTCTCAGGCCAAGCTGGCCGATACAAGGAAACTCCAAGCCCGCCCCAACTTACCAGCGGAGTCGCAGAATGGGTCCAACAGGCTAGAAGGGTTTCTATCCGACGCGAAGTCCGTTGAGCTGCTCGTCCAGGAGTATCTGTCCAAGATTCACGGTCGGCCCCATTGCATTTTTCATACGGTGACTTTGTGGAGGGACATTCGCAACCGGCGAATCGGAAAGGCTTTGCTTCTGGCGATCTGCGCCATGGGAGCTCATGTCTCCAGTCGGCCGAATCTGCGATCCCTCCAGTCCTTGCTCACCACAGAGGCTAAACGGTTACTCCAAATGGATCTGGAGCGGGTCTGTTTAGAGAATGTTCAAACATGCATTCTAGTCGCCAACCTATGCGTGGCCCATGCCAATCCCTCGTCAGAGTTACTGTTCTTTCGTATGTTAGTCCAAATCCGCGTATATCCGTGGTAGGCCGTGTTAGTTTTCATCTAACGAGACACTAGGAACCGCAATCACGATGATGCAATTGATACGGCCATTTGCGAACCAAGAGAATAGCAACGCTGTCTCACACGAGCTCTGGACCCGGATCTGGTGGGCTCTTTTTGCAGCGGACAATTGGTGCTCGTCGAGCTTGGGTTTCCCCCGCCAGATGAAGGACTGGCCTCGGCCAGGCCGATCGCCCATGGATGAAACCCTTTTTACCGGCATGGATCCAGACGCAGTCTTGCACCATCCGAATGAACCATGCAAGAGCCCTGGTCTGTGGGCACACATGGCCACGCTTCATGAGATCTTTGGTCCAATCCAAGAACTCAATTGGCTCGTGGCCACCAATAAAGAACTACAGCCAAATCGAATAGAGCAGGACGTAGAGGATCTTGCCCAACGACTAGACGGCTGGGAAAGGATACTCCCAGAAGAGGATCAAATGACGGAGTCGAACCTCGTAGAGCACAGCGAGCGAGGCACAGGGGGCATCTTCATGGGCCTCCATCTCGGCTTTCATCACTATGCCACGTTACTTTTCTACCAGTATCTCGATCCAATTTCCGCATTGAGTCCGCGCGGTCGACAGTTTGCAGCTCGATGCAAACACCATGCGCTTAGTTATAGCACATGGCTCGCTCGTGGGAGGGGACAATCTGGATGTGAGGCCATGTATCCAACGGTCGGCCATATGGCAATCGTCTCCTCTTCTGTTTTGCTTCATACCCTCCTCTTTGGTGAGGAAAATGAAATTTCACAATCTCACCATTGCCTCAAAGCCAATTTTGAGGCACTACTCGAGCTGAAAGAGTACTGGCCCAATGTTAGCACCATGGTAAATGATCCCTTTGCTCCGTTTTACGGAGCCGCCCCTTTTGTTCAATTCATGTTTTCGTCTTGCTAACGGTTTGCCTAAGATTGACCGATTGATGGAATTTCAAAACAATTGCCTTCTTCTCTCTCATCACCAACAAACACATCGTCTAGATCGTTGGATGGTGCGATTTCTTCTAGAGTACGCCCTACCACTTGATGACAAGGCACTCGCTCTACCTACGGCCTCGGAAATGGAAATTATCTCCACGCAGGCACAATTCTTCTCTCAAAAAGGTCGCCTGCCAGAGTTCGGAGTCAGCTAGGACATTCTATTTACCGACACGTCTTTGAGATATTTCCACGACTCAGTTGGACTGCCATATAAGTAAAATATTAGCACGTTTACATTATATCTAACCCCTAATGAACAATCAATACGACAAATACAACGATGACGAGAATCAGTCCAAGTCTAATCGTAGAAGAGATCAGCAATATTTGTTATATCGAGTGAATATAGATTCTTCTGCTAGTTCCGCCGCCTTGCCGCCTTGTATCGTCAGCAGGTAAACCATCGTGTCCAGCGCTACCATATGAGTGGACGAGATGTGGCTCACCTCCATTACGCTAGAAAGACAATGGCTTGTAAACGTGCCATCATTCAAGGTGCACCGCTTAGATGACTAGTATAGCAATTTCATACGGATTGCTGAAGCTGACAGAGAAATTGCCAGCTGACCCCGACAAGGTTGTAGTGGTGATGGTACTGCTTTCACCTCCCAAAGATGGCAAATTGTTCACGCTTGTGGAATTTGGCGCAGTGAGGGAGATCAAAGTAGCAGTAGACTTGGATGAGCCCTCCACATTGACGACTACAGCATTAGAGGGTCCAGTCTCTCCATTATAATTGACGAGTTTGAGGATAGTGGAAGAACTGTTCACCGTTGCTGACCAGTAAACAGGGCCAAATCCTCCATTGGTGGCGGAGACTGGGAGGGTTCTCGTGCCCATATTCTCCGCGAATAGCTTTTGGACATAATAGCTGATTGTGTAGAGAATCTCGTTGGCGGTATGCTTTATAGCAGCCACCGTGTCGGGGGCTTCATTGTAGTTCTTGATCAGTGCACCGTAGGCAGAGCCAACAACGATATCCGAGTTTCTTTCGCAGCCTAACAGAAATATGGCCTCTGCACAGGACATCCCTAGAGTCTGTGCGCCATCCTGGCGCGTGTTAGAGCCAGCGCTGGTTGCTGCGTACTCGTTGATGAAGACAGGGTACTCGCGGCTGGCGTGGTCGAAAGTGCCGAAAAGAGATGCAAAATAGTTCTCGTTGCCGTAGATATGGAGATCTACTGAGCTGCCCTTGGTTGTCACTGGACTTGGATTGATGGTCGAGATGAGATTGATAGATGGGTATGCAGCATGGATGGCGTTGTAAAACGCCTGAAACCGGTATGAATTGTAGGAGTCAGTTCCCCCATTCAGATAGTCTTCATTGCCAATCTCAATCCAATTGATGGTGAAAGGCGAGGAGAAGCCCAATGCTGCTCGCCTGGCTCCGTGGGTGGTCGATTTATCTCCCTGATATTGTTAGCGATGTCTTGACACGTTCAAGTCCTGATCTCCATGCGTAGGCGTAGACGAATGTTATAGGCAGCGGTCACCTTACCAAAAGAAATTCCAATTCATTCATAACTGAATCCACGTACGGCTGCAGATCGGTTTCAGAAACGGCCTCACCGTCCAAATAGAATCCAGCCCAGATGCCTAGAATCACTTCGATGCCTAGATCATCTGCTATCTGCATCATCTCCAGAAGGCCAAATCCATCGGTATTGATATCACCCCAAGTGCCTGGACGGCCTGGGCGGTCTGTGAGTGAACCGATAGTTTCGTTCCACTTCCAATAATAGGGCGAACCATTTCCTTCCATGTTATTTCCACCGGGCAGTCGGACATATTTCATGTTCATGTTGCGCAGCGCATCAGCCAAGTCTTCGCGCACGCCATTGTCGCGGTACTCAAATGTCTGCTGGAACAAGCTGAGAATGTTAAGGTATACACTCTGCCCAGCCAGCGTCGATCCATCAAATGTGAAATGAAACGTATTGTTAGCATCGGACGCAGTGTGGCTCGGCTTGAAGCTCGAGGAATAGCTCTGTACCCAGCCGTTAGATGAGGTCTGCTCGATATTTATGCTGGTTGAACCGAGGACTTGGTCGCTCGTATTGCTATGGAAGAAGCAGTCAATAGTGCCAGAGTAACTGCCTCGCATATAGAGACTGGCAATATAATCCTTGCTCGCGTCCACATCGAAGCCCCAGAAGCCTTCATTGTAGAATCCTACGGTACCTGTCGTCCCTGCAGGCACGTCCATCCGCAGCTGGTAGGGGAGACTGGAAGAAAGAACGGGCGAGGATGTGTCTATAGCCAGCGAGACGCCTCCAATTGGATGCCAATAGTCCGTGTTACGGTCCAGATTTGCAGCTCCATTGGATGTGGATCCTTGGAAGGCTCGATTGCGAATCATCTCCCCATAGAGACCGCCGTCGCCGGAATGATAGATATCCTGAGGTTTATCAGCGCCAATTTCAACATTGTGAAGATAATGACGAATATGACCACTGGGAAGAGTTGACGACTAACTTCATACAAAAGCCCGTAGAGAAGAGGGCTGGACTGATTTCCACCAGACGAGGCGATATCAAGTGTTAACGCCGCCACGCCAGCGGCGAAGGATAAAATGGTACACAAAATCATATCCAAGGAGATAGTCGAAAGAATCAGGTGAATTCAATAAGACAGAGAGCTGGGTCTGATCTAATGAGCAAGAGAAGTCGCGGGAACGGCTTCATATATACGGATATGTGCAGAGCGACACCAGAAATGATTTCCCCGCATGGTCCGAAATTCCTAGGGGAGGGGGGGCTCCTGAGACAGTATAGTCACATAGGATGGAGGCGTAGTGAGACACTACTCCAACAATGCCCAATGCTGTGATATATTCGGTCAGAGCTGTTCCGAAGAGGCTGCCAATGTTGCAATCACCAGGTCCACTCCCCCGCAGTGTCCTGGGTCCACTATATGGGGTATTGAGAAATGCGAATCAACAATAAAAAAGGGGTAACCACATTGGAGACTTGGCCTCTCCCAAAACTGCAAATCACCGAGTGGGATGAGGCCCCTGCAGAAGGCCGGGAATGGTTTCTTCTAACGATTTATATTAGATTGTCTCTCTTAAATACCACCAGTGGAAGTAGTGTGATAGGCTCAAGGCTAGTAAAAGACACGTAGACTCAGATATAAGTTATACAGAAACTTGAAATACTGGAAATACTGGGGTGCTTGATCACTAGTGTAAGTTTACTACTAATCTATAAACCCTGGCCCGGGTTTGTTATGAATGGGGTAGTCGCCTGGGGTGGCCACGGCCGAGGACTGAAGGGAATTTTCCAATGATGCCTCCCCGAGCCCACCCTTTTGTCCATATCACCAGTTCCATTTTCAGCAGCTTGAATTTTTACTACTGCCTGACAGTTTGGTGGGACAACCAGGTCTAGGCAGAGAGTCATTGCTTCATCTCGATCTCCATCAGGAACCAGCTTCCACGTGCAGTTCCAGTGACCGTAGACGCTTTCGTAGGATACAGTGGCATGAGTCAAGGAACCCCCGGGCTTTGGAGATACCAGTGCAGACTTCCAGCCAGCATCAAGTGGCCGTAAGCCACCCACAGTGTCATGGAGCCAAGCGACCACAGAGCCCAGCGCATAATGGTTGAAAGAAGTCATTTCACCGGGGTTAATAGAGCCGTCTGGAAGCATGCTGTCCCATCGTTCCCAGACCGTGGTGGCACCCATAGTAATAGGATATAGCCACGACGGATACCTCTCCTCTAGGAGCATTCGATAAGCCAGTGACAGGTTATCAGACTCCGTCAAAGCCTGTAAAATGATCGGCGTACCGGCAAAGCCGGTGGCTACACGGAACTTTGCTATACGCACACGGTCAGCAAGCTGAGAGCTAGCCATAGAAAGCTGTTTCTTGCCGGATAGAAGACCAAAGACTATAGTTAAGGAGTAAGCGGTTTGAGAATCTCCAACTACCAGACCAGATGACGTGATGTACTTGTCTTGGAAAAGACTACGGAGACGTTGAGCCTCTTGCCTGTAGTGTGCACTCTCAATATCCCGACCGATGATGGCGCTAATATTGGCCATAAGAGATGTGACATAAACAAGATATGCATCTGCCACCAGAGTGCCGTTTGTTCGGCAATCCCCCGGCTCGTCCGGTGGCGCCTGAGGGTCGAGCCAGTCGCCTAATTGCCATAGCTGAGGATCCCACAGCCCATCCTTCCCTCGCCGAACTCCTTGGTCAAGCCACATGGCCATGCTGGAGTATTGTCGATATAAAATGTCGCGATCGCCAGACGAAAGATATAATGTCCAGGGAAGAATGATCACCACATCACCCCAGACGGCCTGGGGCATTGAGGGCCAGACGTGGTCCAGAATATTGGGGACCACGAGAGGCGGAACGCCATGATAATCTGACTGCTCGCAAGCCACATCTTCCATCCACTCGGAGAGCATAGCGGTGGAGTCATAGAGAAATGTCGCGGATGGACCAAAAATCTGGATATCTCCCGTCCATCCAAGGCGTTCGTCCCGCTGAGGGCAATCTGTTGGGAGGGACAAGAAGTTCCCGCGCATACTCCAGCAGGCATTTTTATGCAATTGATTGATGAGCGAGTTAGAACATTCAAACCGCCCTATCCGTCTGAAATCAGTATGAATCACTAGCGCCCTGATGTTCGTCCGCCAGTACGGCGCGGTTCGAGGATCCCACCCATCCACCTGCACATATCGAAAGCCATGAAAGGTGTACTTTGGGGACCAATTGACTAACGTCCGCCCAGATGATATGATTGTGTCGACGCATTTTGCACCGCGAAGAGGTCGTGTTCCCACTTCCCCGTCGGTGTCCATCACTTCGGCGTGTGTGAAGCTTACAATTGCGTCCAGTGGCAGAGTCATTGAATGTATGAGAAGTTTGCCGACTAGGTTCTGACCAAAGTCAATAATCAACCGACCACTCGGGGTCGTGAAGATCTTCTGAGGAGTCAAATACTCCGTGATCCGTGCTGGAGGGGCATTTGGGGCGTATAGTCGAGCGCTAGGAAATTCTAGAACGGAAACTTTCTCCCAGTTCTCATCGAGGTACTGCGGACCATGTCGATTCCAGTCGCCAACTTCGGCTCGCGCATCATACAATTCGCCATTGTAGATTTCACTGGTCATGATAGGACTCCGGTGCCACTTCCAACTGCTGTCCGACGTGACCTGGAATCTTTCGCCCCCGATGCCGTCGACCTCTAACTGGGCCATAATGGCCATGCAACTTCCATAGATATTTCGCTTACCACCACTAAATCCGAGTCTCCCCGCGAACCAGCCTTCGGCGACTTCGATGCTCAGCACATTGTTGCAATTCGGGTTGATCAGTGAGTCAATATCAAACACTTGATATGCAAGGCGATGACGGTAGCTTGTCCACCCGGGCGCCATTTCATGGTCCCCGACCCTTGATCCATTGATATAGGCCCGATAGACTCCTAATGCCGTGATGTACAGCCGCGCCCGATGCAAAGACTTAAATGTGGCCGGCAATATAAACGACTTTCGGAAGAGCAACGGCCTCAGTGGCTCATCTTCATGACTCGCTTGAATGGAAGAAGAAGAGATGGGCACTGCATTCCAGTCCTGCCGACTGAGGAGGCTGCATTCAACTGTTGCCCATGAGGACCAGGCAGAACAACCTGACTGTTTGCGCTTGGTTGCTCTATCCATCCAGATACCACACACTCGAACTCGAACATGGGCTCGTTCTCGAGATTGTAATGGGGCGGCAGGCCATGGAACTAAGGATGACATAGGGCTATTAACCACGAATTCGACCGGTGATCCGGCTTCACGGTACACCGAGATCTCGTACTGAGATTGTGTCCAGTCGCAGATAGAGTCGTCAATGGCGCAAAAGGTCCATGAGATACGAGGCGAAGAGCATTGTATGCCCAGACCCGTCGAGTGCTGTTCAAAGCGCAGTGCAGTAATCTCAGCCATCTTGGGTGGTGTTCCTGACATCCACTTTGGTTTTTCTCTCCAGAAGATGGATAAAGAAAAAATAAAAAAAAAAAAAAGCAAAAGTCAGACATGGAGAAAGGTCAACGGGTACTTCTCCATGAGCTGACGTTGACTTCCCCAAATCTCGCTGGCTATTATCCCGAAACCGTCGAAAAGTGTCTCGTGCAAGCTGATCAGCTCTTTTGCTATAGTCTGGATCATGCGAATGGAACCATTAGGGTCAACTGCTGGCGGAGTTTGGGCCTCGCGATTGGTCGATATTCCGCCGTTCGTGTAGGGGACCGCCGGAACGTTTCCGAGTAAGGAACTGATCTTATATCGCTATGCAGTTCAGTCTCCTCCCCGCGTAAAGAAGGTTAACCCCACATTACTCCGGACTAGTGGGACCAGATGATGATCGCATCTTAAGTTCTGCATCGGCTGTTCTCACCCAAAGTCTTCTTTCTCACACCAGGAATCGGCGGAGATCCCCCGCATTGAGATCTGCATGGCTTAAATGCTGGGGTTATCCCCTCGATAATTGTGGGCAGGCAATGGTTCTCATCATTTACCTATGTCCAAGAATCAAAAGATGCCTTTTCCTCCTAAAGTATACCAGTTTTTGGTGGGCACATTTGCTGCCCTTGGATCTTTTCTCTATGGATATGATTTGACCATCGTGGCTGAGGGTAAGCTAACTAATTCGGAGCACCTCTGTCCCCTTTTGCTTGGTGGAACTGACGAGGTTCTCTCTTTCTCTGTGTTAGTGGTATCTAGTGGCTCCTTTCTGAGTTTCTTCGGCCCGAGTACTACCCAAGTTGGTCTGGTGGCATCGCTGCTCACGGCAGGTGCCGTGGTCGGCGCTGGGATAGCGTATCCATGCTCGGACTACTTTGGCCGCCGAGCAACCATCTTAGCTGGCGGCCTGATCTTTTGCCTAGGAGGTGCATTACAGTCTGGCGCACAAAACTATGCCTACGTTTTAGGAGGCCGCTTCATAGCGGGCATGTCGTGAGTTCCCCTCGCAAATCTGTCCTTTGTGTGTGAACCTCCCTTTAATAACTGACAACCATGAGTATCGGTGTTCTTACCATGATCATTCCCATCTACCAAGCGGAATTAGTACACCCCGAGATCCGAGGTTTAGTAACAGGCCTACAGCAGTTCATGCTCGGTATTGGCGGCGTCTGCGGAAGTTGGATCAGCTATGGCACGTACGTTAGTTTCTCGGACAACCGGCAATGGCGCATACCGTTGGGTATTCAAGTCGTGCCAGCTGGTCTCCTATCTGCTCTGATTTTTCTCTTCCCCGAATCCCCTCGATGGCTCATTAGCCAGGGCCAGGTCGAGAGGGGTCTACAGACCCTGGCGCGACTACATTCCTGCGGCGATACATCTGATCCATGGATTCTCGCCGAGTTTGAACAGATCAAAACTCAGGTTGCTGCACAGAAAGAGCATAGTCAGGTCAAGTTCCTCGACTGGATCACCGAAAAGTCCATCTTCCGTCGCCTGTTACTGGCGTGCGCCATGCAAGCTGGTGCGCAAATGACAGGAGTGTCTGCCATTCAGTATTACTCCGTCACCATTTTTGTGAGTTCACCTTTTCCACTATCTAGGCACATTACTGATCGTCATTCTCCACCAGAAACAAATCGGCATTGATGGGACGGACACTCTTAAATATCAAGCCATCAACTCGATCATCGGCCTTGTCGGTGAACTCCTTTTAATGCTCGTCGTCGATAAGATGGGTCGTCGTAAACTGGTTGTGGGTGGGAACCTGGCCATGTGCCTCACATATGTCATCAGCACCATTCTCCTCGCCCGGTTCCCTCCCACGGTGAATAATACTGGTGCACATTGGGGTTTTATTATAATGACATGGCTCTATAATTTCTGCTATGCCAGTATGGGCTCGCTGTGTATGTTCACTTTACCTTCCCAGTCCTTCCATTTCTTTTTTATTCACTCGCAGAAGTCGCTAATGACCTTTCTGTAGCCTGGATGATCCCGGCGGAGATTTTTGATACAGCAACCCGAGCCAAGGGTGTAGCTTTAGGCTGTATGGTATCATTCGCGTTCAAGTATGTCTTTGAGCCCTGGTTTCATCTCGTCCTCACAATGGTTGAAAGCTAATTCTCCCGCTTTTTAAAAGCACAATGATTGGCCAAGTGACACCTATTGGAATGGCAAATTCAGGGTGGAAGTTCTACATCGTCTTTGTGGTTAGTATCCATTCTTATATCAATATACTCTGGGAGGATGCTTCACCAGTAATTGACAGGTCACATTCAGGTCTGCAACTTCACAAATGCCGTCTTCTTTTGGGCCATGCTTCCTGAGACCAAACTGTTGCCTCTAGAGGAGATGAAGAAACTGTTCACTGAAACTCCATGGTTCGTCGGTAACACAAGCAAATCCGAGTACCCAGTCACTGAGGCCAGCGTTTTGGCGCAGCAGATCGAACATAAAGGTCTAGAAGAGAAGGAGAGCACAACCATGTATGATGAGACGGTGACAGCGAGCGTGGTGTGATTCGCGAGACATCTCGATGACAACTGGGAGTGAGCAAAAGGACCGGATGGAACATCAAACCCATCGGCAACATTAAGTTGAACTCGCACAAGGTACTCGTTTGATTTAGTAAATTCCATATATATTAAATCCAAATTGGTGTACACTTTGCTTTACCCACCCAACTACCGGCCGCATCTAAACCGGAAATAATACAATATAGAGGCGATCAATTAAAATTGGTATTTTCCCCACTATAAGGGACAGGGTTTTCAAATAGTGTAGTGTTAGAGATTTTTTACCCTATCGTAGTAGCGGTCTGCGTAGACCCACTTCATTAACTGCCAGAGCCCAAATTTTGGAACCGGAAATATTTCAGCAACGTGGTCTGGTCTATCCAGTAATCCAATACATTGGTGGGGAGGGTAAGCCGATTTCGGAGATCCAATGACTTCCCTTAACTCCTTATGAAACAAATCAATCAGCCCTAGTTACACTATCTTGTATTTGTAATGTCGTTAGAATTGCCTAGACGGGAGGGTTTGAGGGTATAAAAACCACGTTTTGCAACACGCCAAGGCAAACCTTATCCATTTTCGAACTGAAGGATAAATATCCATTGGCATGCAAAAGTTCAGGCATATCACGGTCACCACACATACAAAAAAGAGCATCATATCAGGGCAGTGTACTTGTAGAATCAATATGTCGTTCCTCTTCTACGTACAACGCCACATTCATTAGAATGTATACTGACACGGAATCCTAGAACTTACTATTTGATAATGCCGCTAGTGTGACGGAATCAAGCCTCCCTAACACCTTCCAGCCGCGCTAGGGGTAAAAGTACGGTACGGTTTGAAACTATTACCCCCCAAAACAAGAGGCTCAAAACAGCCCATGGGTGGCTTATCTCAAGACGTTACAAATGCCCAGAATGTTGTTCAAGGGTGGTTCTAGACTTGGTTCCCAACCTTGTACTGCATGACTCTCGATCAAGTCCTAGCAGAGGGTCAAAAATAGAATAGGCAAAGAACACTATCTCTCTGTAGGTTTCACTATGGCTAATGCAACCCAACGCATCCGAGCGGAATTATCTTCCGCGCATTTTGTAACCAAGGGGTCTTAGAAGAAAAGCTTGGCAAAGCGGGATCTTGTACCTGAGATTACATACTCCGCCTGTTGGTGAATAGCCTAGGTTGGATTCTCCCTGTTGCCCACTATAGAAAGGGATGGTGGCTGTCTACAGCTGAGATGATTGTATACATTTATCGCATGTAAAAACAGGGCATATATAGATGCCTTACCTTTTCGAGGCCTACAGAGCCTTGGTTGGGGCTTCAAAGACCCGAGCTTGCATGAAGTCTATCGGCCAACTCTTAGGGTGTAAAAGAGGTTGATGGGAACAGAGCATAGCCACATTGCCCCTTTGCAATATTCTGAAGCTAGCGCACGTAGTCCAATATGTTGGGAAGAATTCGGATGCCTGGATATACCTTATTCGTTCTAGAACAATGCGGCAAGGATATTGATTCTCCACCCATCCACATAGCGAGGCCTTGGTTGGACTTGGCTCGGCGATCTATGACACTACCGAAGGGTGTTGTCACACGACTCTAAGACATTTTAGCTAATTTATCTTAAAAGCATAACTACTAGGTATAGTATCGGAAACTCTAAAGTCTATACATCTGGGATTCGACCCAGTACGTAAAACGTGTGGCTTAGCCGATGGCGCATTGCCAAGGCTATAATGTCAACCACACGACAACTTACCGGATCAGTTATCTTCAACGAAAGGCTAGATACTACAAAGTGCTACGACATTGGGACTCCAGCTGACACATAATTGCCGCATGTTGTGGATCTTGCTAATCAACTCATCTAACATGAGGGCTATGTCTATGGGGGTAGAAGATATATAATGGCAAGGAAGTCACCCTGAAGCATCTCAATTTCAAAACACACACACACACACACACACACACACACACACACAATTCAGAAGTATCTATCCTTTGATCTGCAACCCTTCAACCCTTTCGTTGATCAAGCAAAATGAAGCCCATTCTCTTCTCGACTTTGTTACCACTCGTCCTGGCTCTACCAGGCCCTCAGGTTTGTCTTTCCTAGGTTTGAGGCTCATGCTCCGTACAGATTGTTGATACTGGATCGAACAGACACAGCCAGCAGAGGGAAAGCTACCCTGGAAGAAGGGCAGCGTATGTCTTGCGCTGACGGAAGACTGTATGGGAACAATTGGGTGGTGTAACCTCGAGGCACAACGCAAGAAAGAGTTTGGCGCTCGTGAAAATTGCCTTGCTCAAAGAGAGCGCCGTCCCGCTGATGCACCTAAACTTCCCTGGATGAAAGGTACCGGTTATGACTGTGCATATGCTCTCACTCCGGAGGAAAGATGTTATGGCACTGCACTTTTCTGCCGTGAGGGACTTTACCCGCAGGGTCAATATACCGACGAGAAGGAATGCTTGTCTGACAGAGAGGACGCTCCTGCAGATGCCAAGGTAGATCAACGCCACTTACGTCTGTATAATATTCGCTGATAAACAAAACTAGAAGAAGCAGGATCTGCCAGGCGAAAAGCCGAAGGCCAAGAAGCCATTCCTTCAGCCTGCACCCGACAGCGACACTTCGTGCATGACCTTCGACCGCGGCAGTGAGCGCTGTGTTGGAACGAAGTATTACTGTACCAATGACATCATGAAGTTCCCCTACACCGACGAGGATGGCAGCGTCTACAATAGTGCCGCTGAGTGTCTCGGCGCCCGTGAACCTGAGCCTCAATCTGCCGACTCTGATCGCATTGTATTCCCTGACAACTAGAATCCGAGATTGAAGTTGTCCCCAGCTGCGTGCATACTATGACTTAGCAGCCCACGGTAGCATTCGGAACCAAGGAAGAAAGCTGGTGAGAGTTTCGAACGTATCTATTTGTCTATACTTGTTTTATCAGATGTCTGGCGGTAGATTCAACATCTAGGCCAGTTATACAGTTTTGCTTTTAGTTTGCTTTCAATTCATAAACATGCCGAGAGACGCAGGCCCCCGCAGACCATCCTGTATATGTATTCACGTTGTAGCAACCTCTGTTCAAACATAGAATTCACGATCGAGGAAGAACAGGGAATCGATGTCTAGTTTGCTATTCTGTCTCACGTATCTGGAACACGTCCTACGACCTATATCGTCTCCAAAAATATGGATGATGGAGTGAAATAGCTGCTTCTTATCAAGGAATGAGCGGTTGTAGAAGTGATCTCGGAGCTCAGGCAAAACTATTGTACTTTCTCCCGGACTGCCTCCGTAGTCAGTCAGTAGCCGTATATTAAAAGAAGCTCCTGACCTGTCACGTACCACGCCTTTCCTCGCTTATTCTCCATCGAAGAGTGACCGTCATGACGTTCCAATATCCAAACTCCGGCCTGCTAAAATGGAAAATGTGCCTGGAGGTTTAATAGTTACATTGCCATAGCACGAAGTCACTAAGTCGGGTTTCACCAGATGTCCTAATCAGTATATCCAGTGGAGCGTCACCATGCGTAAAGAGTGCTTGTTCAAGTCGTCCGAGTCGGAGCTCTTCTCAAATTCCTATGTGCGGGTCGCATGCTCTCTTCTGGGGTACTCTTGTCTTGCCAGGATCGTGGAGACCCTGTACCGCGCGGATATGCATCCTATCAGGTATCAAACCAATCAGTTGCAGAGATGCATCACACTTTTCAGGTTGTTTTGTCGTTGTCATGGCTTCGTCTAGCACCCACATCAACTCGAGTCAAGTCGCGCTCGCCACAGTAATGGAAGCCAATCTGCATGCCATGAGCGAGCATATTCGGGCTCACACAGTTCACTGCCAGATCCTTGAGAGGATGCCCATGATAATTAAGACTTCACTCGGATTCTGCTCGAAATTGCCAACCCGAAACATGAAAAACGAGAGAACGGAAACTCCAGGGCGACACAAAGCTTGAGCTATCTGTCAGCTTTTTAAAACGCTATACTTATTCCATAAAATTCCAGAGCAGTGTCAGGGCGCGGTATCCAACCCTGGTTGCATTATTTAAGCCTATCAAATAGTCTTATCTTATGGATATACCGGTACAACGTGCATATCTAAGAAAACGCCACGCGATGCGGTATGGACATACAACGGCCATGTATACATTATCTCCATTATGCCTTATGGACGCTCGAGGAGTACAACATGCACTACCTAGAAAATATATCCGATGTAACACTGAAGAAATCTTAGATGATGGAAGTAGCATCTACAACTACACCTCTACTTGCCTTGCTTCAATATTCATCCGATGTGACACTTGAGTAATGCGTTTGTGCTTGCTCTTCTCTTTCTAATTTCTACGGAGCTGGTATGTTTTTGACTTTTCTCCTTGTTCTATTCCAGAGCTCTTACGGACAGCATTTAAATCCTAACAAAACACCGAGGGCGTTGGCGGAATTATCCAGATATTAGACTGGTGTATTTGGGCACGAATGCCAGTTCTATAGACTTATCAAAAGGCAAGTACGCCAAATACTTCAATAGCTGCAGAAGTGCCCCTGATTGTTCACATCATCGGACAGAGTTATCTACGGATTTACTGGGCAGACCAGCGACCATACTTTGGCCGGCGAAGAGCCAATATTGTATCCAACGGGCCTTCAGGTCGATATATTATCTTCATCAAGCATAAGCTTTCTCCAACCGGATGACGAAAAGCCTTTATTGCGATTCCAGCTTCTAGATGCATCAAGCGGAATCGCACGGATACATCAAGTTTGCAATGAAATTGGAGACAAAGATGATGTTTCTCGAACAACAATTCATCAAGATGCCGTGGACGCAATCAATCGGCTGTATCCAGAATCTCCTGGTCTGCTCATCAACTTTTCTTCACCCTGCTACTTTGATGGATGCCTTGCCTAGTACCTTTGATATACGAAAATGTGGGTTTATAAGCGCAGGAAAGGAAGAAAACAGTTTACGCTGCCAAGGAACTGCAGCTTTGCCAATGGATGCCCATGCTTTTGGTTCTCTAATTTTCTAAGATCTCCGAGAAAAGATTGGCTGAGTCACAAGTGTGAGTAGGAAAGTAGTTCAGGTTAGCCCTGTCTAGGTAGACAATGTAAAGGACCGGATGGGGTATGAGTAGGGTATCATTCAACTATTTGAAACATAGTATCACGGGTCATGGAGCTCTATTCGTGGCACTTCTACCAGAGACCATAGCCACAGGGGTCGAATAAACAATATCTGTAGAAAATGACTGATCATACGATAAAGGGGACTATCCGTTTCATAGAGGCACTGTACTTCGGGAGACGGACGGGTTCTATGGCAAAGAATTATATTTTCATTTTGTCTCCTTCTTCTTTCTCTTTTTAGTGTCCATTGTCCATAAAAGCAAACATAATATTATTGGTTTCTTTCTTTTTTTCTTTTTTTTTTTTTTTTTGAGATTCATCAAAGCAGTCACGGATGCTTGCAGATACTGCCCCACCCTAGCAGGATCTTCCTCCATTCGCTCTGTAGGTTGTGACTACTCTTCTCTTTACTAATAGCCCTCACAGATCAAGCGACGCTGTACGCATTGCCTCTTGGCAATGTTGATATAATCCTGGCAATCAGCCCTCTTCGACGTGGAATTAACTTCATATTATCCTGCACTTAACTAAAGCCAAACGCTGCGGTATCGACCAGCCATATTCCACCAAGATGGATCTCCCCGTCACCTTCTCATCCCCTCTCTCTTTCCTACACCGGCTGGCGAGATGCATTTGCCTTCATTTGCTGCGCTTCGGGCCGAAGCCTAGACATATGGGAATTATAATGGACGGTAACAGAAGATTTGCGAAGATGTCCAATATGGAGACAGCCAAGGGACATGAGCTGGGGCTCACTGCACTGGAAGAGGTCAGTCGAGGCTCTCATCCACTTTGTCACCTACATCTCTCACCAACTAGAACTTGGAAACATGTTTCCAAGTCGGAATTCGTACCGTTACAGTGTATGCGTTCAGCTTGGATAATTTTCACCGCCCAAAGCCCGAGGTGGATGCACTAATGGACCTGGCTAAGATACATTTAGCTCGGCTGACTGGGCCGCATGGTCTGCTCACAAGGTGGAATGGAAAGCTCAACGTTGCTGGGAATAACGAAATGCTACGACCAGATGTGCAAGAAGCAATTCGAAATGCAGTTTTGGCAACAGCAGGGGGGGAGGGCTATGTTTTCAATCTCTGCATAGCATACACATCGAGGGATGAGATTACAACTGCAATCAGGAACACAGTTGTCCAATTTCTAGAGAGACCTAAGGATCATGTTGTTTCTGTCGATGCAGAAGACTGTACACTGAATGGCAGGATAGAACACAGGTAATTTCTGCCGTCTACCTCTTGGGACATTGTCAAGACTAACGGTTGAAGTATCCCCTTCAATTCAAGCCAACGAATGAACGGTATATGCCAATGTGTACAAAGTATAACGACCCAGAGTCTATCCAATAATATGCACATCCCAGAGCATCCCCCACTAGACCTGTTGATTCGAACCTCTGGAGTCAGACGTCTCAGCAATTTTCTCCTGTGGCAGTGCCATCAGAAAACCGAAATTCTCATTCTGGACACATTTTGGCCTCGTTTAAGAGGTTTTACCATGATGCTGATGCTCTTACGGTGGAAATCGAGAACATGGCTGTCCCGCTTGTGGGGTGTATGAGAGTACCTTCAAACTTGGTTACCGGTGTTCTATTGCACGTAGTCCAACCTCAGTCAGAGTTGACATTTTTCACTGGAGATCTCAATTAATACAGCTGTTGATCTGCAATGTAGCGGTGAAGATTATGTCTTGTGCAGTAGGATTCTACAAGAATTGATCTCTCGCGTGGAGTATCGGTTAATGCAAGATTTCATTTTATCCACATACTGAAGCTCTAGCAGCCATGATTGGTCTGAAACGGTATTCATACATGTAGAATTCCTTCCTAGTCCTTGCTGGTTACTGCTCCACAGAAGGCCGTTTATGAGGTATACCCCTGATTATATCAGGCAAAGACCTTCGTCTCCTTGGGGTGGGCGTCCCCACACAAGTTTATTTACTGTGCTATCTGACAGGTCTCACGCAGATGATTGATGACCTACCACAAAATCAAAATACCATTGATCTCTCACCGCATCTTTCACATATTCTATCTCGTAGCCATGTTATCAATATTGAACGTATCATTTTTGTCGATCGATCTGTAAAAGGGCTAGAAGGAATCCACACTGATAGGTCAGATGGCTAGTGAGAGCCCCTTGTAACAAGGCCTGAAGACGATGCGTCGTTGAACTGTATATCCTCTCTGTATCCCAACCAATTTTGGCATTATAACTATTGGATACAACTCTGTCCTTTTCATGCGGTTATCATACCAGTCTACTACCGAGGTCCATGATAATGTTGTTCTCCCAGCCAACGCACAACGGTCCTAGCTCCTTTGAGAAACTTCCTCCGCACCTTGGTTGTGTCTTCACTCCGAAGGAAAATGTCGGATTTTCAGAAAATGAATGCATGTTAGGAAATATCGCTGATATTGCTCTCTGGTGTGTGCGTTTTGGCATACAAAAGCTCACCATTTATGATAGATTAGGTAGCTTTGCCAGTGAACCTGCCCTCAATATCAACATTTCCCACTAACGCAAACGCCCAAAGGTTTCTTCAGCAGTCAGATGGCGTCCGTGCACGCTAAGGTCACGAACATTTTTGCTGAGCACCAAGTGGATGTCCCTCTTAATGTTTCAAAGCCGGGCTCAGTTGGATCAGAGAGCGCATTCCAGATCATATTGCTGGATTCTAATAACAGCCGTGAGGCCGTGGTGAGCCTAACGCGAGAATTGGCTACTGCATGCCATGCAGGGAGGCTGGCGCCACACGAAATCACTGAAGATCTGATAGACCGTTCCTTGCGTATTGCTGCGGGGAATGGAGCAGATCTTCTGCTTGTCTGTAGCCAGGAATTTATGCTGTGCGGATATCCTCCCTGGCAACTTTCCTCGACGGAGATATTGTAAGCATTAACCAACACCCCTGTGATTGATACTTTACCAATGACGACTGTCCAGCCACATTAATTCCAAGACGGGCATGCAATACACCGACTTTGTCCGTGGTCTCCAGGCCTACTCGGACGCAGAGATGCGCGGTGGTCGGTGATAGAGGATTGATGGAAGGTTCCGCAGTGGGCCTATTGAAATAACTAGTTATCGTTTGTACCAATTGTTAGTTTGTTAATAATTTCTAATTGAGCAGTGGGGATTAATTGATAATGATCACAGTGGTGGTGCCAGGAAAATCATCCAGGGGTAACGCCCCGTAGACCCTGAATAATATAATAGCTGCGTGGGCAGTCGCAATTTTCAGGATAATAATATTTTCTATTGGTGCACTAATACCCATTCTTAATTTAATTCAGAGAACGACCTGACCTTGAAACAGGGGTAATGGGTGTGGAAAAAACGAGGTCGGACAACCGTGTCCAATTCCGCCTTGATCATAGACTTGTTCTCTCTTTTGCACCTCTTGCTATCATTGCTCTGTTCTCTTCTTTGGAGGGAACCTCAATATCAGTGGCACTACCGGTAAGCAAACTGCATAACAGGCCTCACGCAGCCCCAGATTGACCAACGTAGGCTATCGCAAGAAGCCTTAATGGCTCCGCAATCGAGGCATTTTGGTCTGGAACGTCCTTCTTGCTATGCTCAACAGGTAGGACAACTACCAAGATACGCCTGGCTCCTATAATTACTAAAGCGGAGATAGTTTTCCAACCCATAATCGGCTCGTTATCGGACATCTTTGGAAGAAAGCCATTGCTGTACGCCTCATTGGCCTTTTTTCTTTTGGGCTCCGCCCTTGGAGGAAGCGCATTGAACATGACCTGGCTCCTCTGCGCACGCTCCATTCAAGGCCTTGGTGGTGGTGGAGTCCTGGCTCTCACGGAAATAGTAATCACAGATCTTGTGCCATTGCGCTTTCGCGGCCATTACTTTGGGATTCTTTCGTCAATGCTGTGCATTGGCTCTGTGACAGGCCCTATCATGGGTGGTGGTTTTATCCAATCACTGAACTGGGTGAGCCTTCGCTGGTCTTCTTTGACAGTCATGTTTGAGCCTGATCTCACACTGTTTCCAGCGGTGGATATTCTATATCACCTTACCTTTTATTGGCGGTGCGATTGTCCTGGTATTTCTCTTCCTTGATGTCCAACAGCCTACGAAGAAGACATTGAAAGGACAGCTCCAGCAGATCGATTACGTTGGAACCACACTCTTCGTTGGAAGTATGACTTCGTTCTTAATGCCAGTGACCTGGGGGGGAATCATGTATAGTTGGGCCTCCTTCCACACTGTAGTTCCCCTCCTCATAGGAACCGTTGGCTTGGTTATCTGTGCAGTGTATGCATGGCGATTTGCTGCGCACCCCACGATCCCACCAGTCCTATTCCAATCGCCTACCACGGTAGTGAGCTATGTCGCCACGGTCATCCATGGGCTAACGATTTGGTGTGTGCTATATTACTTTCCCCTTTACTTCGAAGCCGTCAAGGGATACAGCCCACTGCTTTCGGGGGTTGCTCTTCTGCCATTCTCGTTCACAGCAGCACCCAGTGCAGTCGTCGTGGGTATTTTGATCACTATCACCGGTCGATATCGCTGGTCTATGTGGGTGGGTGGGGCCTTGGCCACACTGGGGATAGCTCTGCTATGCATTCTAAAGGCTCAGACCAGTGTCGCCGGCTGGGTCCTGCTTATGCTCCCAGCTGGGTTCGGGGCGGGTGCGCTTTTCCCTGCACTACTGTTCGGCATTCAAGCCTCAGCTCACCCAAACCACATTCCCATCGCGGTGGCAATGTCTAGCTTTTTCCGAGCATGCGGGCAAACTCTTGGTGTGGCAATTGGTGGTGTCGTTTTCCAAAATCGAATGCGAGAGAATCTGCTGCGCTTCCCGAAACTCGCGCCTTATGCTGACGACTACAGCAAGGACGCTGCGGTGCTTGTCCAGATTATTCAGATAATGCCGGATGGGGACGATAAGCAGTCCCTCAGAATTGCATACACTGATAGTCTGCGCGTGGTCTGGATCCTGTGCACCGCGCTCACTGCAGGGTCAGCCCTTCTGACCCTTTTCGCCAAAGAATACACCATGGACGAGGGGGAGCCGAACCGTGAGGAATTGAACTCCAGCTCCAGCACCTGATGGAGCTGGAACACATCTTTCCTTCTCTTATATACCATCCTTTACTTGAGATACTGTAAGCCTGTTAGTAGCCCGGGAATTATTGCCTAGCTTTTTGGAGATATACGAGGACTATTAATATTGAGAAATGGAACCAAGAACAAGCACGGCCTCTTCCCAGTAGCCCGTTCGCAGACCTCGAACAAAGCTTAATCCCACAGCTGTTGAAAGTTTAAGCTATGTAATCGAATATATACATAGTAGATTACTAGACGAAGCATAGATATTTCGGATCATGATGTTATTCAGGCGGTAGCCGTGGCCGCTGTTTAGGCTCTGCTACTTGATAGACAGCCTTGCAATCCTTAGTCATCATGAAAACTGTTCTGTATCTTCAGGCCTTTAGCATTCAGCAGCTGAGCCTGATCATTACCGGGCATCGTGGGCGTCTACGACCATCCGAGGCGTTGTCGCAGTCATAAGAAATAGCCCACCCGCGGCCAAACGACAAGCTTCTATATACCTGACCATATCCTGTGACCATGGCCCATTCTGCTTCAAGCTTTCCAGTTCCTCGTGGTGGGTCAACTCAGCCTGAATAATCTTGTCTCGTATCAATTTGAGTGCCTGCTCTTCAGTGAGTGAATCTTGTTCGGCCACAATGGCAACCGCATTATAGACAATCCCTGGCCGCTCTTGTCGTTCATGCAGGAACTTCTCTTTCTTGTAGCTGAAATAGTCGTTTGAGAGCGCCATGAAAATATGCAGCGGGTGTATAACATCACGCACCGCCGCTTTCTCACGAGCCACTAGTGTAATCCCCATCACGTGGCGTACAAATTCCAGGAGAGCTCTTGTGAGACCGGTTAGTATTAGAACCACCAGTCCCCGGTGAGACCTACTCACATCCAACCACCAACAGTTACTCGGTGTTCCAAATATTCGTCGAACGTGGTGAGCTTATTATCCTGCGCGTTCTCACCACAAACATCTCTGAAATGGGCTACCATCGATAGGATGCCAGCTCCACACTGCCAGATCCCTTCCACGAGCAGAGATATCTGAAGCCGCCGATATTTGGAACACGATCCCCAAATCTTTCCCCATATCTGACCGAAACTGCTTGGCATTCCGAAGGCAATATACTCGGATACATTTTGCCTCTAGTCGGCGTCAGTTGTGTGCATGCTGGAAGGGGTGACCCGGTGCCAGCTAGTCATCTCACCTCTGTGGCTGACTTTGGTGCTTCAAGCCGATCTACGAAACATGTTAGCAATGGTCCCATCAGAGAGCGGAACTGCTGACCGTCTTCGAAGTGCATGTATTCAAACATCTTAGCTGCGTAAGGAAGCCTTTTGGGACAACACTCGGGTATAACGAGGGATGCGAAATGTCCAAGGGGACAACTTGCCCCCAAACTCAAGTCAAGAGACTTCTGCTCCGTGGCGGCGCTATAGTCTTGGAGGAACTGGGCGCTGACAGCCCTTGCCAAGCCATCTTCCCGGTGAACGCGGATAGGGAATGTAATGCAAAAGCCCGTACCCTCTAGGGCCGACTTATCAACTTCGACAGAGTATTCGTAGCGGAGCATTAGTAAAAGGGGCTTGGGGGTTGTGGGTTTTGGGTTTTGGCCCCTTCATTTGAACTGGTGATCTTGATCGTTATATACCTACTTGGCGTATTCATCGGTCGAAGCTGCGTGGAAGCAAGCTGGTATTTTGTTTAAAATCCCCCCCCTTTTGCTTCATATCTCACGGACCTCGCAGTCAAAAAGGTCCGAGACACAGTCTGTGTCCAGTCACCGCTTTCTCACGGTGCATATTGATCGACAAATAATTGGCTTGGCGGATGTACAAGGCGATTTCTTTCTCGATTTAGTGTAGTATTCGTTCATTTTATGATATTTTGTTGTTATTTATCAAGCCTTGTAAACTTAATAGATTATTTGTAGTATCAATCAAGAAAGACTATTTTAATTTAAATAAAATTTCCAATATATAAATTGGAATATAAAAAAACATACAACAGGAGGGATTCGCTGGTGGTCACCCACCCAACTACTAACCTCCCGGCGTGTGGCTTAAGTACGGCTGAGCGGACGGGAAGCCCTGTTCTCCACACCCTGTGGTCGTATGTACTCATTCCTTCGTCTCAAAGGGTTATATAGTGCATCAATGGATGTCAGCAGCTTTGACGTATTTCATATTGAAACCGTGTGATTTATGGTAATTTTGGTTGACAAAATATTAGCAGCGGCCTGATATCATGTATCAGAACCTTCACAGAATCAGTGAGCAGTATACTCTGTAGTGTATCTCTACCTAGGGGATGATGAGTATGTCATAAGTGGTCCTTTTATATATTTCCCGGATCCGATGTAGGCCTGGCTGTGTACTCTCACAAGAAGATATATATATGGCCTGGGTGTCGGTGTGGGTACCCGACACAAACCTAAATGCGTATACATGATGTGTCTCAAAAGATTTCCGACTGCCTCTCTCAAAGACAGATGGTTGGAAGCTGAATTAAATGTCCATTCAGAGAATCATGGTGGTACATGATTGGATGATATGGTTTGTCGACCCATCCCGAGCTCGGAATGCAGTGAAATTCCGTTCGGGATAAATACCGGGATACAAACATAAAGATAAGGACCGGAACAAGGAGTATACATGAATAGAATAGAATAGAATATAACCGCATGGGGGTCCATGTCATTGCGCAATCCTGTCCCTCTCTCGCGCATTCTAAATCTGACTTCATCTATCAAATGGTTGTGATGCGATAGACTTGAACTGGCCAGGACACTCGTTATTGACCGCAGAGAGTCTTTCAACGCCTACCACTGCTATCATCCCGTAGGTTCCCAGTATGGCCCACCAAACAGAGCAGGTCCCTCTTCTTGAAGAGCAACCGCAGCGACAACCCCGCAGAGAACATTCATTATGGAAAGCAACACGAATATGTATCAGCTGCTATATCGGCGCCCTCCTCTTTGAGTCGACTCAAATCCTGCGCACCATTCCGAAAACGAAACTCTTCGAGGCGACCATATGCCGGAATGGCCAAGCTTCTGTTATTCATGCTTTCTGGTAGATGTGGTTGTGAAAACCAATCGTGCGCAGGCATTCTTTAGCCTCGCTGTCATGACACTTATTGCGGAATTGGTTGCCCTTGCTGTTGGGTCGATATTGGTGGACCAGCAGGGCGTTTACTCACCTTTACTGTGGGCGTTCCCACTGCAAGTCGCCAATATGGTAGTTTTCGGTCTCCTACCTGATACCAGACCCCCGGCAAAAGTGGTAAATGAGAATGCTGGGGTTTCGGCTGAGAGGGGGGAATTCGACAAAAGGTTCAGGTAAGACAGGTCAAAACACGGGCTTTGCGGAGTGGGTAGAGTCTCTCGAGAGAAGCTGTGCCCCATTCCAGAGTAAGTCCATCTGGTTGGTGGCAGTTTGTTATATCTCCACAATGTTGGCTAGGGAGACGATTGACCTTCTGGTTCATTATGTCTCCAAGCGATTTTGAGTGGAGCTTGGCCAAGGTATGTCTTCTGGGGACCCTTTGACTTCTCCGTTTGCACAAGGACAGGTTGTTCACATGTATATGATTCATGCTAGGCAAACTACCTGATTTCAGTCAAGGCATTGGTAAGCATTGGCGCTGTATTTGCTGCTGTTATCTCTTTCTCAGTAGGGCTCTCGCGAAGCAGTGCTCGATGTCACCACCAAGAGTGAATCTATGGATTGCACAAGGAAGCTCTTTGTTTTGGTGTTATAGGCCCGACTCTTCTAGGAGTGGCCTCTGGACCAGCTCTCCTGATCATCTGTACGTTCCCTGCCCTCTGATCAATACAGGATCCTGCTTTATTTGATGTATTCTTTTTGACAACAAGCAGCACTTGTTCTTTTCTCGCTGTCATTGGGGTACCCTTTTTGTATTCAGTCATATGGGACGTCGTCACTCGAGCCAGTTGAGGTCGCCCCTTTCTATTCTGCAGTTATTCGAATTGCTGCGACTCTATTTACATCTCCGCTTCTTGCTCTGGCATTTAGATTTGGATCGAATGTTGGAGGCACGGCTACCGGCTTGGGTTTTGACGTTGCTGGTACATTGTTGCTGCAATCGGCAGCTCCCTGTCGCAGTACTAGAATAGCTAGGATGCAACGAATGGTCAAGCTGGACAGGACAGGTCAGGAGTAAGCAAAAGAACAACTAACATAAGAAAAAGATACAGTCGTTGAAACCTCGTATCTAGATGGAAAGGCACAGAGACAGAGGAGCCCTATTGGACTACGTTGTAAAGAAAATACTTCTGAGATGGCTCAGTCGATCTTAGAATTCAATCAAGTATTAACTCCTATCATACATATTTAGTCAAACCAACAAATCAATCCTCCATCCGTGACAAAGTGCCAAGTACAGCAGTTGTCTGGGATAGAAGATTACTCGATATTGCTGGTCTTCCCTGAGTGAATCCCTAGTTTTGACCACCTGGAGGTAACGACGCGTCCATCTTTCATCGTAGCTAAGATGTGCTGCTCGGGCATGTCCAAGATGGTAATGTCCTCCAACGGATTGGCATTTAGAACCAGAAGGTCAGCTGCAAAGCCGGGGGCCACCTGGCCCAGGAATTTCTCTTGTCGAAGGAGCCGGGCAGGATTCACCGTGGCGCTTCGCAAGATATTTGTTGAGGTTTGGACTTGCCGTCGCAGCTTAAACTCTCGTGCTTGTGCAAAATGCAGATCACCCAACAGATCGGTTCCGAAGCAGATCGTAACCCCCGCGTCTTCTGCAATCTTGATAGCCTGCAACCCGCTTTTGAGAACCTCTTCGTTTTTCTTTGCTGAAGCCGGAGGGAGGAAATCTTTGAACATCGCCATCGCTGCATACGTAACGAGTGTTGGGGTTAGAAAAACACCCTTTTCAGCCATCATCCGGGCGGTGGTCTCGTCAAGTAAATTCCCGTGCTCAATACCCATGACGCCCAGTGATATCGCTTGCTGGATAGCTTTGGGGGTGTATGAATGCGACGTGACATACGTGCCTGCATTAGACGCGACGGTCACTATAGCCTTGATCTCCTGGTCCGAAAATTGAATGTTTTCAATCTTGTCGGTTGGGCTGGCGACGCCGCCACCACCCATGATTTTAAGAAAGTCAGCCCCTTCACGAATCTCTTCACGGGCATACTTCAGGCAATCGGGCACGCCATCAATGACTCGGCCAACGCCTTGGGCAGCCCCGCCGCAACATTCATACTCGTTCAGTATACCACGCATATCGCCATGGCCTCCGGTCTGTGAAAGAGCGTGACCGGCGATGAAAAGTCGGGGCCCAGGGTGGACGCCTTGCTCGATCGCCTCTTTGAGAGGGAACAATGCCCCCCCACAATCTCTGACGGTAGTAAATCCCCGCTCCAGCATCGACTTGCATACGAGAGGTTGACGCAGAAGAGAGGCGGATGGATTCATGTTCTTGACACTCTCTAGACCATTCCCCCCCCCTGGCACTGCGGCCAAATGAACATGGCAGTCTATCAATCCTGGGCAGACAAATTTGCCTTCGAGGTTAACTGTTACCGTGTGAGGGTCCGATTCCCATTCTTCAGCGCTGCCATTCACAGACTGGACAATGCCTTCATAAAGGTGAATGCTAGCATTTTCCAATATTATGCCTTCGACAGGATCCACGACATTTGCATTTAACAGAGCATATCTGTGGTGTGGCGGCTGAAACCAGGGAATGGTTGTGTTCTTGGACGGTAATGGATTGGATTCGACCATAGTTAATCTAGTCAAGAATTGCAAGTGCAGTCACGTACAGCGCCCGCGAACGAAAATTATCATAAATACAAAAGCTGTAGCCAAGTTATGTCCCGAATGCTCTTTTGTTAGCTAGGTTTAGAAGTCACTTACGCGAGTTAATCCAGAAGCAAGCGCGCGACGTCAAGCGCGGAGCCGTGAGTAATCCACCGACCGTTGACCAGGCAAATGTCGCGAGAGAGTACAAGTCGAGCCATTCCTCAGAACCTTCATGTATTTTCGTCACTCACACCTGGACCTGGATCGTGACGTGGTGACATTCGCCAATGGACCCAGAGGACAAAAGTATGTTCTGCCGCAAACGGCGCCTTAAGGTTACATCGGGTCGGGGCCAACATTCAAAAATTCGACTGTTTCTGCCCCTTCGCCTGGCATTGTGACGTAGTGCAGCCTCGCTAGTCTAGCTTCGACGTCCGGGTGCATCATCGTAAAATCGAGTCGATGTGATAAGGACAAGAGAAACCCAATCTCGGAGTTTGTAGCTCGCCTTAAAGCATAACTCCAGAGTTAGCACATATATATAATAGATGTACACATAGTCTCATGATCGCCAACAAGATTAGCTCAATAGATTATTTGTGAAATGAGTATTTCCTGTGTCAAAATATTAGAGGGTACTTTCTCCTCACACCCAGGGGGGTGGGCTGCTAATATTAGAGACGGCTACCTGCCTTGTCTGGGTAGCAATGTCTCTTGTAAGGAATGGGCACCGTGCACGAGGCAAACTAAACTGTCTATGCTAACAGGACCTACAACGATCATTAACTCTACGTCTGACGAGGTATTTATAGGTGCAAGGTTTGCTTGATCCTAGTGGTCTCCCATTGTATCATTATTTTTGAGCATGTTGATAGAAAAGAAGACGGGTAAAATTGAGCCTCGCCGCAGCAAAAAAAAAAAAAAGAAAAGAAAAGAAAAAGAAAAAGAAAAAAACAAAGGGCTAGCATGAAAATCTCTCGTTAGGTACTTGAGTCTCTCATCAAGTACCTACCTGTAAAGGTTGTAAGCCACTATTATGTCCGTATTTCAATGGAAATGGTATGATTTCACTGCCATGCATCTTGTGCAGCGGTTGATTGGCGGAGATACCAGAAACCTTATACTGAGTTTACATTTTCATTTTTGAGTATTGATATCTAACAGAACAAGAAATGACCGTATAGAAGAAGAATGTCGCCCATGGGGCATTCTTGGCCTAGCGGTATATGCCCCATATTTCGTGCGACCATATCACATTACTACCGCAAGAAATGTATTGATTCTAAGCTTCCGCTTATGTGCCCTTTGCCTATCTGCTATGTCAATAATTGAGTGTAAGCTGGCAAGGTAAAAATAGTTTCCATTTTCGACGTTAAGACTGGACAAATGTTTGTGGCCACAACCATGGTAAATTTCTGGGAGCAGCGAAAAGTGACAGCAGTAAAACTCTTGCCGTATATAGATGCCATAGTATAATAGAATAAATTCATAACCCGGAACATTTTCTATACACAGCAGTATAACACGCAGCTGTCTCTCTGGAATGACAGTCCGTGTCTGCAGTCTGGCGGCAGCACTGGCGGCAGGGGCTGTTGTTCTCACAGCTGCCGTCACAGATAATACATACATCATTACACTCTTGAGTGTAGCCAGTGCTAATAGTTCCCAATTACGACGAACATTGGAACCTTCGCCAAGGCAGGAGACACCCATCAAACTGAGTGCCCCAGTGGCTGTAGAATAGCTGTGTGACGGTACCGGTTCGCCAATTTCGAAGTTGCAAATATATATACAAGAAACAAATTATAAAGCCCTTGGATAAACCCTCCAGGAACTCTTACCTGTAAGCTTTTCTTAGAATAGCCTAAATTACAATAAGTAATATACAGGGCAAAAATACTCTATATAGATGCGCTGATAAGCCTATTGTAATAGGTTATCTAGGTTATATAGGATCCTTTCCCTCTGTGGTGCTTTGCAGCACAAGTGAGTACAATAAATAATGCTTGTAACAGAGGATCTACTATACAGGGGAGATAGCCTGTCAACTAGGTAAGGAAACGTAGGCGGAGAGAAGAAGGGATATCTATCATTGACTATGTAGTAGAACGAATGCAAAGAGACTGATTCTTGCCACTTCTACCTAGGTGACTAGGTCTTTAGACCTCCTTAAATAGCTTTAGGATCCTCCCCTATTCAGTAGGTCTTTCCCACTGAAAAGTCAGTGAAAGGTCAGATAATCTCTTCTCCGACCGATTCTAAACTGTAGGGGGTCCGAGATCTCATGTAGGAAGAACCGGGACCAGGGCCTATGCAGGATGAGCCAGGATGTAAGGGTCCGGGGGTTCTGCAGGCCAAACGGGCCGATTCCGCATCGGATCCGTGGCAACTATTATATAAAATTTAATATAATATTTTAAATTAATAGCTATTACAGTGGCACGGGTTCCTTGCTTAACCTACCTTGAGCCCGAAAAACCCGCCCGGGTTTTTCTTGGCATCATGTGACTAAAAAGTCTATATTTTCTAGATTTATTCTAGATTTCTATATAGATATAGATTACATATATAGATTTGATAGAGATATAGAGCTTTAAATTTTTCTATATTAGGCCTATTTAGGTAAGGTACCTGATTAATAAGTAAAGACTTGCGTAATCAGGTTTAGCCTGGTTTTGGGTCGGGTGCGGGGAGACCTATCGAAAACCCGACCCGCGTGCAACTCTAGAAAGGTATCAGGTGAGGTCGGTGACATGGTTTGTAGAGGAAAACATTCGGTTATATTAGTATCGGTTGAAATGGCAGACAACAAGAGAGCGTCACCTTGAAGGCATATATTCGTAATATAGTTGAAATACACTAACACATCAATCGGCACTTGAGTTGTAACGTAGGCCCACATAGTATCCCAACAGTACATTGCAAATCCAAATTTCTATATCTCTTCCTATCTTAGGGTAGCTGATACTAGCATCCTCATTTCATAATACTATATAGCTCGGCATATTCAACCACCAGATTTAGGGTTGAGATAAAAAATCACATTACTCCTCTGTAATCTTGATATCTGAGAGGTTGTTTGGCGGAACTTGAAGGTCACATGACCATGGATTCGTCCACACGCCCAGTCTCATCTGGGGGCAAATCCTCTCCGGCTGTCGACAACGTTTCGATGGTGAACATGTCCAAGTAACCGGACCTCCATGCGCCCACTATAATGTCCTAGGGAATACTTTGTCTATCCCCTGTAGGATCGAAACTATTTTCGGCCAGTAACCCGCCATGGTGAGGCGACGGGCTTGCGATGGATGCTCTCTCCGTAAAACCCGGTGCAGCGGCGGACGGCCTTGTCAACCCTGTGTCCGCTCTGGCTTTGAATGCTCCTACCTGAAGCCAATGGCAAAACCCGGACCGAAAGGTCCACGCGCTGAGACCTACACACAGATCAATAAGCGCCTGCAGAGCCTGCGAGAGCGAGCTGGCCGTTGTGCAACCGAAATCGCATCACCCGCCAATGTAAGAGCAGGATGGGCGGATGTGACCGACTCATCCAGGGTGACACCAGCTTGTGATGTCGCCGGTACCGAACAGATGCTGCTACTGACTGATGGATGGCCATCGCACCTGCCCCTGGCAGATGTTTTGGCTCACCTGCAAACCTACGAGCAGAGAATGTATCCCGTCTGGCCTGTGGTTGACACTGCTCGCCTTCGCAACTCCCTCATACTGAACGTGAACAATCTTGAATTACGCGCTTTAGCCTTTGCGGTATGCGCAGCGACCTGCGCTCAGTTGCAGTGCCACTCGGACAACCATGCGACGCAAGGAAGTGCAGAGGGAAAGTGTACTATGGCGGATGACTTTGCGAAAGAATCAGATCATTGCCGCACGATGTATGATTACCGGGAAAGTGGCACTTTTGAGGCAGTACTAGTGCCGCTGTTCCTTCACTTTTACTACGGTGCGAAGAAAAAGATACCGACCGCTTCGCTCTTGCTCCGAGAGTCTGTGACATCGTGTCAGCTTCAGGGATTGGATCAGGAAGATACCTATCAAGATGTACCCCCGGAAGATGAGCGGTATAGGCGAAGGGCGTTCTGGCTCCTCTATGTGACCGAAAGGGGTCACGCAATTCAGCATGGAATTAATACTTGTCTACGAGACTCCATACGGCCGCCAACGCGCGATTGTTTGGACGAACTCCACCTTGTTGAAGCCTTTGACCGTCTGGTGGGCCTATTTATTGCCGTGGAAGGTGTGCTTCTCGATCGCGGTGGCTCCAGTACCATCATGTGCAGTAAGGAGACGCTCTGTCGGCTACAGAGTCAACTCCGTCAGTGCCTCCAGTGGCCTACGACATACCATGCATTGCAGAGAACGGATATTGCTATTACCCAACAGTGGCTACGCGTACTACTTTGGCAACTATCTTTAAAGAATATTTTCCTCTCGAGCGCTTCGGCTGATGACAGTATGAGATTGACCTACCCGGTCCATGTGGCAAGAGACGCGATCGTGCTCATCTCCAACGTGCCCCAGGAGACATTTGTGGCACACGGTCCCGGGATGGTGGGTGACTATATATATCACAATGGCATACCTTAAGCTTACTGGATCCAGGCCATCAAACTCTTCGAGATCACAAGTACCCTACTGGATGTGATTCACTGTGTTCCCTCCCTCTTGCACCGCAATTCAGTGGGAACACACGATATTCTCCACCATTTATGTTATTTACTGTCATCTCTGAGCCACAGACCATATGGCCTAGAGGTACTGCAGAGAAAATTGCATGAATTAGGCATTCCATACCGCCATATTCCTGCGCTTTCTCCGGCTGACCGTGGGGATTCCCCCGTCATTGAACCACTTGATGAAGAAACATTAGATGCATAGTGGACTTTGGCCCACCGGAATTCTTCATGGTAACATTGCTGGATGTGATCACATTTTGTGGATGTCAAACTGATTCAGAGCTTCCCCCCACCAAGTCCGGCTCTGGCACTTGAACTATCTAGAAA